CTGCAGTCCCGTCCAGAGACAAAGCGTTTGCAGTGACAGGCACCGCTGGATGGATCACAGGCATGAGTGCCGGGGACGCGGCCCCGGGCGTCGCACCTGCAGGCTAAGGGCACACAGCTAGCTGTCAGGGTGCTACGAGACTGCTGCGGGGGCAGGCGTGCTATGAGGGTAGTAACTAGGGACAGAGCAAGGAGGACCTAGGGGTGAGGGTCACACTGAGGGTCACTCACGCTGGCAGCCTTCTGACTGGGTGAGGCTCAGGCCATAGTGACCTGGCTGGCAGGAATCACAGCGCTGGCCCCAGACGTGAACTTTGCAGCGACACTGCCCAGAGAGGAGGCCCCGGGTGGCGTCTGTGTAGGCATCACACAAACCCCCTTCCAGGGCACCCACAGGGTCACAGTCACAGGCTGGATCAGGGGTCAGAAGTGGGGACAGAGTCAGGCCAGAGGTTATGTGAAGTTCACGGATCAGGGTCACAACTGGGATCGGAGATTGGAGGGCTCACGTTTGCAGGAATGAAGGGAACGGGGGTCCTCCCGGGGGTTCCGGTGGAAGAAGGGCCGGCAGAGTTCACAGTGGCGCCCAGCTGTGTTGTGTTGACATGCATCGCACACACCTCCACTCACGTTGCCAGATGCGAGATACAGGGCCATGTCAAAGTGACAACTGTGGGCGTGCCCATGGCACTCGCATTCTGGAGCCGGGCAAAGAAGGTGGGTAAGGAGCGGGCTGACCCATGGCAGGTGTGGCCAGACAGAGCAGGGCATGGCACCTACCCTGGCAGGCGTGGGGGTGCCCAGGCTCTGCTGCCTGCCACGGGCGGTCCTGGTACAGGCCCTGGCAGCGTTCGCAGTGGGCACCAGTGGTGTGGTGGCGGCAGACACAGTGGCCATGTACCTGGCAGGGAGGAGGGCAAGATGAGTCGACCCTGGTCCCCTGGCTTACCCTCCCACCAGCCACTGATGTCCCTCTGAGAGTACTCACCATGCCTTCTACGCTGGGTGGGGACCCAGGTGCGGGCCTGCACTCAGAGGCATGGCCGTGGCACAGGCAGCTGCCTCCAACCACTAGCTCATAGAGAGCATAGTAGTAGAAGGGGTGGCCCTTGAGGCCCCCCAGGGGCCTGTCACCCAGGGTGTGAAGTTTGGAGAAGTTCACACGGAGGTTAGTCACACGCAGGAGTTCTGGAGACACATGGAGAGCCCTCAGGTGCACAGAGGTTGTGATCCCTCTATGCCCAAGATAGAGCAGGAATTGCAGAGGGTTTCCCCCCTCTCTGCATCACTGAAGCCACCTCCTCCAGCACCTGCGCTGTGCGATTCTCCCATCCCTCTCCCCCTGAGTATACCGTTTTAAGATGACCACAGCCCAGTGGTGATCTTCCCACCTCTGCGCTGCGTCAGACCTGCTATCACCCCAGGGCTGAGACATGAACATCCCACTGCTCCCTGGACACCCCTTTCTGGTATCTCTAGATACAGGAAACCTGCTTCCCCATTGCAGTAAAGGACCCCACTCCCCAGCCCGTCACTAGACTCAGACATCAGCTCATCACCCAGCCAAACCACATGAGGTATGTGTACTTATTGACTGCCCCTCTCATTTGTTATGTCCGCTCCAAGATAGTTACCCTTTTGATCTGCTCCACTGAGCACTGCCCGGAAGATGCCTGGCCTGCAGTGGGGCTCCACGGGTCCACGGCCCCCCTTTCTCTACACAGCTTAACTCAGTTACCAAGCCAAGGCCACCTCCTGTATCTCTTTGCTAGAGATCCCTTTTCTTCTGATCAGAGGAACACACTCTAGGCCTTAGAAGGGTGAAAGGTGTGTGTGTGTGTGTGTGTGTGTGTGCACGCACAGTAGGTGGTAATAATCTTAAGTAAGTCAAGGTGGGTGGAGATCGTAGAACATAGAGAAAAAGCCACTTTGGGGTTTGTCCTCCTGTTCTGGCCCTCTCCTGGCCTGGTTCTGGGCTGCCCTGCTGGGTTATGTTAAGTCTCTCTTGTCCTTTAACAAGATTTGCTTTATAAGGAAGAGGTCACACCCAGAGACGCGCTGGCGCCATCTGGCGGCAGCTTCCGGAATGCAGTAAACTAAGGCGGGGTGGGAGGGCAGACAGTGGACCCTGAAGGGGCTGTGATGGGGAACAGTGACAGAGGCTCACAGAGTGGAGAGTTTAAGGGGGACAGTGTGATAGGAGTAGAGGTGGGGGATAAAGATTGGGCTGGCAGGGCCAGCAGTGATGGGGCCCACAGTAGGGCCTCCTCACAAAGGACTTCAGTGATGGGGCAGAAATATAAACTGCTACTCATGCTGGTCCCTGGGCACTGGGCACAGGTATGGGAAGCAGTAATGGGACATGGACGGGGAACCATAACAGGGACCACGGTAGAAGACCAGGATGCGGCAGGGCTGGGAAACAATCGCTGGGGGGCTGAGCTGGCTTGCCTGCCTCTCTGCCCAACTAGTGCACAAATTTAGGCAGGATCTCTCCTCCCACAGGTAGGTTTCTGGTTTTCCCGACACACAAGGAATCCAGGACTGACTGTGGGATAGTTACCCTGAATTTCCGTGTTGTTTGTGTTCTCCACCAGAATGGTTGGGTCCAGAACTTGGAAAATAACCTGCGAAGAAGCAAGCCTGAGCCTCTGGCTTCAGGACAGGGCCCCACCCTCCTTCCTCTGGGCCTGACCTCTCCTTCAGTGGCAGGCTCGATGTCTGAGTAACGCTGGTCACAGACGAGGTCACCGACTCTGTGGCCAGGGGCAGGAGGGATCCCAGGAAAGTGGCCTGAGCAGTTGTGGGCAAAGTAGCGGTACACATGCCAGGAGTGGCCGTGGTCCGCTGAGCGCTCAAGGAGCAGAGCTGCTGGGCGGAATGTCTGGGGACGAGAGGGGGTCCTTGGGTCACCAGGGGCACCCATCAGTGGTCAGGATCAGGAGGCCGAGAATAAGCCTTCAGGGTGGGGCACTGGGTCACCTTAAAAGTCATGACGAGGTGCGTAAAGTAAAAGGCACCTTCTAGGTCCAATTGGATGGTGACATTCTCAACACCTGTAACCATAAGGGCTGCTCAGCGGCCAGGCCTTGACCCCAGAGCCCAGACCTACACACAGGGGCACACAAGGACCCTCACCACTCTCTGCTTGCCACCAGGTCTTTTTGCCATCAGGGTCACTCCGGGAGACCACATTCTCAATGCCATGGCTTTTCCCGTCCCGAGAGTCGCAAAAGCAGCAATTCTCAGAGTCCTGGAGAAGCGCCCGCAGAGTTACTTGGCATGAAGTGCATGGTTGGCCCCCGCCCTCCTCCAAACTTCACAGCAATGACCTGATCTCTCACAGGGGCTGGACTTGCCCAAGAAAACCCAAAGATACCACCTCCAGAGGCCATACCCTTTTCCCTACCTGTAGTTTACTGACAACACAGTAGAGTTCAGGGCCATGGAGGCCACAGGTGGATGAGGTTCGAAGGCTCTGGACACGGCCAATAACCAGATTACCAGTAGGTGGGGGGCAGCTGCCCCCCGAGCAGCTGGGTGGAGGCATCATGTCTGGTACCTCCTGGGCACTTGTTCTGGGAGCCGGGACTAGGAGGGGGCAGGGTCTGAGTAGAGATCCTAGGGGTACCCTCCCCCACCTCGCCCCATCCCCCACGGAGCCCTGGTGATTTCTCCCCCACCCCCAAAAGACTCTCAGGGAAAAAGACCATCTCTCACCCATGGGTGGCAGTGGCAGCAGCAGGGCTAAAAGAAGGGGGCCTAGCCCGGCTGGGGCTCCTGGGTGGTGGCAGCCAGCATCAGGCCTGAGAAAGAGGACACAGAGTAGGCCCCTAGCTGGGCTGTCCCGAGGATCTGAGTGCGGTCCTCAATTTCATCCCCATACTCACATGGTAGCTGCACGCCAGGCTATCAGAGGCAGGGAGCATGCAGGGTGGGGCCACGGCGCAGCTGGGAGCAGGGAGGTCCCCAGAGCTGCAGAAACCAAGGGAGGCCGTGGCTGGGGACAGGATATTAATGGCGGCCACCAGATGTAGACGGAAGGTGGGGAGGGCACCGAGAGGCACACAGAGCTTCTCTGCTAGTGGGGCCACGGTTCAGACTAAATCGCACAGGCAGAAAAGCCCCGATTCTCATTCAAATGAGGCTTCCACCCCAGCAGAGAAAGGCTGTTCTCCGGGAGCCTCTGGGGAATGTGTCCCCCTCCCCGCCAGCCCCAGACGCTGCCTTTCAGGCTGGGCAGCCAGTGAAGGGCTGGCAGATGGGCAGGGAGCTAGTTTTGTCCAGGGTCCAGGGCCCTGCCCCCTCTCTAAAGCAGACAGAACCGATAATGTCTGAAACGTACAAGGCCCTGTTGGAAAACGTGCTGAGGCTGGACCTGGAAACCGAGCACTTGGAACCCAGGCGGAGTGCACGAAGAGGCAGTGTGCAAACTCTCCAGGCTCAGCAATCGCAGCACTCCACCCACCCGAGAGTGTCCCGGTCAGTGAGGAGACTCTGTGGCCCTACAACCCACAGCCACCCTGACCTCTGACTCAACCCCCAACCCCCTGCCATCAACTGGGGAAATTCAAGACCCTCTCCTGGAGGGAGCAGAACAGAGAACAGGCAGAAGTACTTCAGCCAATTTAGGCCTGGCCCTGCCCCAGACAAGCCCCGACAAAGCCCCAAGGTTTCAGCCACAGTAGACTAGGCCAGCTGTCTGCACCGCCCCTTCCCTGGCCTAAAAACCTGCAGCTGCAAGCTGCCCCACGGAGCCACCTATTGTCTGCCTCCAAGGGACCTATCTGGGTAACACACCAGGGCAGCCCCAAGGGGAGGTGTCCCACTTCTGAATGGCTCGGCCGCCCCCCTTTCACTCACACCCATGATGTTCCCCAGGCAACCAGGCCCCTCTCTGGCATCCTTGCTCCTGGGGCCACCTTTCCTACATGCTCAAGCTGGCCTCCCAGCAGTCACATACGCAAAAAAGACCACAAAGGGAAGGCAGGGAGACTGGAAGGTGGAAAGGTATAAAACGTGATAGATGGAACAATAGACATACAACTTGAATAACAACAAGTCACAGTGTGTTGCGCCATGGGACCACCCCTTTTGCCCGCCCACCCCACCCCACCTCCTCCAGTCTCTGAAAGGAGGTCAGTGGCCCTCAGGGCCCTGGAGAGGCAACCAGAGTCCTTGGGGTTGTGGAATCCATGCGCACTGCACACTGTCGCTGGCCACACACACAACAGGGCTTGGTTTCCCCAAACATCGCTGTGTGAAGGAGTCAGGGTGCTGAGTGTGGCAGCAATGGCTGGAGTCGTATTACAGGGGAAAGGTTCACACGGAGGATCCGCTGAGCCTGCTGCCGCACCTCGTCATCTGAGGCCAGTCTGTCCACCTTGATGGCCCTGAACTTCAGCAGCCTTGCCGTTCCAGGTCCGAGCTGCACCTTAGGGGATCGGGGCCCAAGCCGTGTTTTCTTCCGGGGAGGAAGGTCCTTTGCTTCCTCAGCCCTTTTCCTCTTCTGCCCCCCAGTCTCAGGGCAGCTCTTCCGGCTCCTCCTTGCAGTCCTGCCCTGAATAGACCCTTTAGGCCTGCCCCTGCCCCTGGGCTGGGTCCGAGCCACTTTGGCCTTGGCTTGCACAGCCTTGGCCTTGGCCTTGGTCTGCACTGCTTTGGCCTTGGCCCTGGCCTGCACTGCCCTGGCCTTGCTCCCAGCTGCCTTAGCCTTGGCCCTGGCCCGCACGGCCTTGGCTTTGGCCCGGGCCTGGGTGGCTGTGGCCTGTGTTTGAGCCACCTTGGCCTGGGCACGGGCAGCTTTGGCCTGAGCTGCTTTGGTGCCCAGAGCACTGCCATCTTTCATTCGTGGGCCACCGAGAGACCCAGTGACTTTGCAGGCCTTGCTCTGGAGCCCAGACCTGGGGCCTCTTCGAGCCAGACACTTAGGGCCCTTGCTTGTGGCCTTCCTGGGAGCTTTGAGCTGGGCATTCCCCAGCCTCTTCCCTTGACCTTTCCGCACCTTCTGGGGGGAGTCCGCAAGAGACAGCTGCAGTGATTGAGCCTTGTGTTTGGCACCCAAGCAGGCCACGGGAGTTTTGAGGGGAACTAGGGCCTCAAGGACAACGGAGAGTCGCATGGCAGGGTAGACACCTGGATAGAGGTGGGTGGGAAAGCCCACCGCCGCACCCTGGGCACGGCCGGCACTTGACTGCTTCAAGGAGCTCAGCAGCAGGTTGGTGGTAGCATGCTTGGCGAGGGCTGGAGTGGACGCTTTGGCCAGCCTGCCAGATAGTGGCATGGGGAGCAGCGTGGCCCGGCCTGCAGGCAGCTGCATGGCAGTTTGGGGAGCACTGGCTGGAGGTGATGTGGCAGCTGGGGTGGGGGCACGAGCCTGAAGTTTTGTCTGGCTTGGGGGGTTGGCTGTGCACGAACTATAGCCATAGACATCGCCGCTGCGCAGGATGGTAGGCTGGAAGCCATCATCCCGCAGGCCCTGCAGGAAGGCCACAAGCTGGGCCTCAGTGGCACTGAGATCCTGGCTCATGGGGTTGAAGACAAGCAACGCTTCCTCCAGGGCCTTCTTCCCCGCCGTGGAGATCCGTGACCAGGAGTGCACAGCCTTCTCCTCCACATGCTGCACCACCACGCTCATGGCATTAGGCACTGCAGGTCTGCCTGGGGATCCACAAACCAGCGCCTGGCACCTCCAAGACAAGAGGAAGAGAGTCAAGAAGGGCACCACGATAGGGGCCAGGACAGGTAGACAGGTCAATCAGGGCCAGCATTCATAATAGTATCTCTGGACACACAGGGGCCTGGTCAGAGTGAGACAAGCACTCCGTGGAGCAAAACCTCAAGCTTCTCCACCTACCAAGGTGGAGTGTGTGTTGCGGGGTAGGTGGTGAAGTCATATTGGTCAGATAGTTTCTTCCCATAATCAGACCATCCAACCTACTGCTGGGCCCCTGGAAAGATCTGAGTTTGGCCAAAATCCTAGTACTAAACTCAACACTGGGAATATAGGTAAATACCTCTGTCTGCCGGGAGCCCTGTACAGAAGGCAAGACAGAGATACCGTTAAGGTTCTTGGGATGCACACTGGCATACAGCTCAGAGTGCCAACAGAAGGATTCCCGAGAGGAATACCCACATGGCATGTGAGTGATGAACAGGGAAGGACCATGTGGAGACGGTACGAAAAGGGGAACAGCCCATGCAATGGCTCCGAAATGAGAAAGAGTAAGGGCAAACTTGCTATGACAGGAATCTGTGGTCAGGGCTGGGAGGGTCAGCTGGAAAAACCAGTGAAAGCAGTGCAGTACAAGCTTTGAATGCTGCCTGAATGCCAGCCTAAGGGTCCAGACTTATACCCCAAATTCATGACCATTTCTGACTTTCAGAGTTCCCAGCCAAGCCACTCAGAGCTAGCACTAGAGCCATGGAGAGCAAGCCCAGAGAAAGAGCCAGACTCTCCTTCAACAGAAATGAAAAAGATGATGAGTAGCAGGTACTAATAAATTATCTCTAGGCAATCAATGGACATGAGTTTGAGCAAGCTTCTGAAAATGGAAAGGACAGGGAAGCCTGGTGTGCTGCAGTCCATGGGGTCTCAAAGAGTTGGACACGACTAACTGCCTGAACAACAACTAGACAATCAGGCAGCCTGGGGCCAGGCAGCCAGACCAAGAGCCCAACGTCTGACAGTGGGAGCCACAGACTCCAAGCAAGACGCTTAATAAAGTGGGCCCAAGAGATCTGAGGGGTCCTAATTAAGGTTTAGAAGTACAAAATTCGATACTGCCCATTTGGAGCTTCTGGCAAGAGCAATTGTCCCAGGCTTCTCTGAAGAAGCTTCAGGCCGCCAATCAGGACTAATATCTCTCCCAATCCAGCACTGAGGGGTCCCAGAGGCAGCTCTGCAGCTGCACAGGAGCACTAAAAGATCAGCTGGGATCAGGCAGGTCCCTGGGGCCAGGAGGTGCGTCTGTGCAGCTTCCTCCTCCACCCTAATGGAGCACAAGTTTTCAGAACTCCCTGGAGGAAGTGCCCTGGGGCCCTTTGTTTGGAAATATTCTTGGATCCTCAGGTGTCTTGGGCCCTTCCCCTCTCCCGAGGCCATTCTCCAAGTACAGTCTTTGCACATGACTTTGGTTCTTTTATTCCCCCACCCCCGCCAAAGGCTGTAGTTCCCAGACTGTGAAGTGTACAATAAGGAGGGGACTGTTACCTCCAGGTACAGATATTGGGGGTAAATTGTGGCTTCTGTCCAGGTTGGCCAGGGCCCTTGGGAGGGGTCTTCTGGGCTTTCCAAGAGGCTCCGGAAAACAGAGGCTGCAGCCCGACCCCTGACTTCTCAACTATCCCTGGGACCATCAGGGGAAACTGATGAAAAATGCGGGACGAGACCAGCCCCATCCAAGCGGAACCGGGGTAGAGTAGGGAAGATCAGGGCCCTCAGGTTGGGAGTTCGCGTTCCTGGTGCCCAAGCCGAGAGTTGACGCGGGGGACCTTAGAGGCAGCCAAATGTACGGGCAGACAGTGGGAGCCCGACCGGGTCGCATAGCCCCAGGGTGGGGTATCTGGGCACGGGGTGGGGGGGGTCTCATCCCGGCCGCCGGAGGGCACTGGTCCCGAAAAAGCCGGCCGCCCGGCCCACCGCCCTGCCGCCTCGCGGACTGCCCCCCCGCGGCGTGGCTAGGCCCACAGCCCCAACCTACCGGCGACGCCGCGGGGACCCAGGACGCGCCTCTGCGCCGCCTTCGCTGATCCAACATGGCCGCCTGCTGCGCACCGGAAGTCACCACGCTTCCGCTTCCGGGACCTGGCCCGCCCTAATGACCCTTGACCTCCCGAGACCCCGTTTCCCCCAAAGTCTAGGGGCCGGACGAGTAGGAACCAGAGATGACTTCCTGGAGGAGGTGGCAGCAGGGATCGCTCTAAACCTTTGGGAGCCTGTGCAGGAGTGTGAGGGGCAGAGGCTTTTAGAAGCCTATGGGCAGTCACAGAGGGTGTCTGGATGCTTCATCTGGGCACTGGTTAATAGCCCTTCTCATTCCCCATAAAACCCCAGGATCCTCTGGCTACTCTATGTTTCTCTGCCTATACAGAGGGGTCTGGGCACTCCTAAAGAGAAGGACACTCCACTCGAGGCCTAACCTTGTGCCCCTAAGCACCTCAGGGCTTCAGCCCTGATGGTTGGGGTCCTTTGTGCCTTTAAGCATAGCCAAGATATCCAGCAGGAAATGCAAACTCTCCTGCTCCTCTGGAGTAAATGCTTCTTGTCCCCTTGTGTTGGTAGAGAGAAGGGAATTGTGGGCTCTTAAAGGCCAGGGTCTCAGAGGGTGCAATCAGGAAGTCCCACCTTAGCACTCTCAGTCCCCAACTGTGAGTGAGCCCCATTTCTGCCCCATCCATGGTTGAGGATTAACTGTTCATTCTTAGGACCAATGCAGCCTCACCTGCCCAAGTTCTCTTCCACAGCCAGCAGAGTTGCCCTCTGTATGCAAGTGGGACCAGGCCTGTGTAAATAGAATCCACTTTCATGAAGAAGCAGAGCCCAGCCTCCAGGGATGGCATGGGCCTAGATGTGTCCAAAAAAGAGGATACATCTCTGGTGATGTCCAGTCTAGAAGTCAGTGCAAAATGGAGGACAAAAAAGGGTAGGTCCATCCCCAGTCTGTATCTCTTCCAGACGTTAGAACCAAGGGAATTGTATGGCTGAAGGAAAGTGGTCTGGGGTGCCTAGTTCTCTGAGGGGAGGCTGATCCTTCTGCCTCTTGGCACCCAATATATCTGGGATGGAACTCTCTGGGATCATTCATCAGGACCAAGTCTGACTTGACCTAGACTCTGGCGGATGCTGACTGCGATCAGATGAGATGAGGCTGAAGAGACCACAGGGTCATCCCAGGATCCAGCCCTTGCTTTCCACTTGGCATCTTTTAAATATTTATCTATTTGGCTGTGTCAGGTCTTAGTTGTGGCACACAGGATCTTCCTTGTGTCATGCTTTTGTTGTGGCACATGGACTCTCTAGTTATGGCACATGGGCTTAGTTGCTCTGAGGCATGTGGGAACTTAGTACCCTGAGCAGTGATTGAACCTGTATTCCTTGCATTGCAAGGCAGATTCTTAACCACTGGACCATGAGGGAACTCCCTCCATTTGGCATCTTTTCTAGCCCTGAGTGATGGACCCTAGACCCATATCCACCAAAGCAGAGATCTGGTGAAGATCTAGATGTGAAGGAGGCCAGTGGTCTTGAAGGGATCACCCCAGGAAGGAGTCTATGTGCCAAGGAGGAAAGCTAAGGCTGGGTCTAGAGGAGCCTCTTCCTAGGGTGGGAGAGAAAGCAGGGCCTGTAAAAGACTCCAAGAGACAAGACAAGCAACAGGAGAGCCAAGGTCACAAGGGGTGAAGCTTTGAAGATGCCAGCAAAATTTCAGTTAAGAAAAAGAACATAGCATCCCTCCCCCATTTTTTATGGTGTCCCATGGTGACTTTGGCAAGACCAAGTTTTGAGGAGCAGTGATAGCAGATATAAGGTTGACATTAAGGCAGTGGAACCTGTAAGAGAAGATGACTTCAAGAGTTTGACTGGAAGGAAGGGGACACTGGAGGGACTTTGGGTGCTTGGATGTAGCTAAAGGTAGGACGCTTTCATGTGCTTAATTGCTGGAAAGGAGAGGGGGAAGAGGCCTGGAAAGGGAATAGTGAGAAATGTGAGAGGGTGTGCAGGACAGTGTGAATACTCTAAGGAGGAAGGTACCAGTGGTTTGAGTGAGGAGCATGTTGAGAGAACAGAGTGGGAGGATGGAAGCCTTCTAGCCAGGATCTGCAACCAGCCTTGGCACTATTTCCCTGCCGGCCCTCTAACTCCATCTGCCAGGGCCTGAAAGGGACTGAAGACTCTCTGGTCATGGAGAAGGCAGGCTAAGGTATTCATGCCCCGGAGCTCCTCTCAGCCCATTTCTGATGGAGGTTTGAGCATCAGTACCTTAGCAATCCTTGCTCTGATTGGAACAATAATGTGAGGCCCATGGTCCTACACTGGCTCCCAGAGTCCGCAGCAGGATTTGGTCCCAGTTGCCCACAGCGGGAACTTGCTTGACACACTCTTAATTGGCTGGTTTCCCTGTCTTCTTGCCACTTTCCTGCTGGTGCTTCCTGTCCTCATTTCCCACACTAACTATGTGCACTTCTGTCTCAGTCTCCAGGTGTGCTTCTGGGGAAAATGAGGCAGACTGTCTATAAAATAGGGACAGGATGGTAGCAAGCACAAACATCCATGAGGACCTCTGCTCTTAGGTGACCACTGTACAAATGGGCCCCAGCTCACAGACTCAGCCAGTACTCTTAATGCTCAGAAGATAGGATGAGCCAGGGTCTGGGTCTAAGGTAGGTTGGCCTCTGTCACACCAACTTGCTTTTGCCTGACCCCAGAGTTGGCTAGAGGCAGACACAGGACCGTGAGGATGGACAGTCACAACGTGCCTAGGGTCCCAGAGTAGCCCAGGCCTTAGGCCCCACGGGACAAGCCCAGAGTGACCTGCCTGGGAGGTCCGTGGCCTCTGATTCTTCATCCTTTGCTCAGGTACACTCCCCCACACAAACTGTCCCCACCCAGACCTGTGGAAGGGCCTGTCAAGGACTGAGGCTGGCACCTTCTGCTCCTCCACCCACGGCTAGCCTCGATGTGCATCACACAACCTCTTCTGTGTTCGAGCTTGGGAAAGGGAGACCCAGCCATTGCTCACGCCAAAGGCCAAAGCCATTCCCTAAGAGGCCTCAAGGGGGCGCCGCCGCGAAGCCTGTCGTGGGCTCTTGTGAGCGCAGTATCGGTGGGCGGGCGCCCGCTCCCTAATTCCCGAGGTTCTGCTGGTCGGCCCCTTCGCGGGTGCTCCCAGGCTGGGTCCCGCTCAGAACCGCCCGCATCCTACACGGGTCGCGAGGCCCATCGCCGCGTCCTTTCTCCCCGCCGCCCGAGGTCGGACCCCAAGTCCTGGGCAGGCCCAGTGTCCACGTGTCCGCCTGTCCATTCACCCGTGTGCCGGTGACCATAGGTCGGTGCGCCTTGCTCCGGCCACGGCAGGTGCAGGGTTAAAGCAGGGGGAAGGGTTTCCCAAGTCGGGGGGGGGGGGGGGGAGGGGCGGACCCCGTCCAGCCCCGCCCCGCGCCGGAGCAGAGCCTGAGCCCCGCCGGCGCCCGGCCTCAGCCCCAGCCAGAGCCGGCACGAGCGGAGCCAGAGCCGTGGACCCTGCGCCCGGCGGCGCCGGAGCCCCGGCCCGGTGAGTCCCGCGGGAGCCGCGCTCAGGGGAAGTTTGGGGCGCGGGGTGTAGAGCCCCAAGCACGCTTGTCAGGACCCGCCCCCCCGTCCCCTCACCTCCGCGTTACCCGAGCTGGAAGTTTGGGGCCAGGAGGCCCTGGCGCCAGGGGTCCTAGGAATATGGCCCCCCTTGGGAAAGGAGAAGCCTGGGAACTTGGGGATCTGCTGTAAAGTCCAGCTATCCATTCCTGCTGGCAACGCCCTGGCAACGTCAGTGCTCCTAGGTTCCCCAAATCACCTTCCTCCCCTTTCCGGACATCAAGAAGGCTGCTCTCTGGGGACCTGGCATGGGCAGACCCCTGAGGATAGACCTTGAGGGGAAATGTGGAACTCTGGCCTCCAGCCCCTCCCCTCCCGGTTCCACCACCCTGATATTGGTCTTTTGCCTAGGAATGGATGGACTCTATGGAATGATTCCCAAATGGGATGTAAGGATACCCTGGAGTCTGATCTTTGGCAGTAGGTGGGAGACCCCAATGGCTATCCAGAGCAGCCTGGAAGCCAGTAAAGGGGAGGGTCCAGTCTAACTCCACCTATGCAGAGCACCAGGGTGTGGACTGTTGAGGGGAAGGGAACCAGGCTGGTGTGCAAAGTCCTATCCTAGTTAATTTACCTCCCACCTAGACCTGGATTTAACCGGGGAGCAACTAGGTGACGGCAAGGTATGGGAGGAGAGTTCCTCGAGCCCCAGAGGCAGTGGGGAAGTTGCCTGGGTAACTGGGAGACTGCCCTCCTTCCCACTCCAGGAGGGAATCCACATCAGTGTGCTAGCCAGTGGGGGTGGGTCCTCCCTCTGCTTTTCCCATCAGCAGTTTGGGGCCAGGGTGCTCATCAGTATCAGTGGCTCTGACTCTTCATTTTCCTTCTCTTCTGTAGGTGAAGACCAACTCCCTGGACTGGCCCCACACTCCCTTATATCCCCCGTAGAGTCAAGATGAGGCCCCATCATGCCCTTCACTGAGGCCTACAGCCTGAGCAGATAGCATGGCCTGCCACTGTAGGTGAACACCATGGCTACAGGAGGAGGCCGGGCCTTTGCTTGGCAGGTGTTCCCACCCATGCCCACCTGCCGGGTATATGGCACAGTGGCGTACCAGGATGGGCACCTGCTTGTGTTGGGGGGCTGTGGTCGGGCTGGACTGCCTCTGGACACTGCTGAGACATTGGATATGGCCTCGCACACGTGGGTGGCACTGGCGCCCCTGCCCACTGCCCGGGCTGGTGCGGCTGCTGTGGTACTGGGCAAGCAGGTGCTAGTGGTGGGCGGTGTGGATGAGGGCCAGAGTCCGGTAGCTGCTGTGGAGGCCTTCCTGGCTGACGAGGGCCGTTGGGAGCGTCGGGCCACTCTCCCTCAGGCCGCCATGGGGGTTGCGACTGTGGAGAGAGGTGAGTGGCCTCCCAGGGAAGGTCCCTCAGGTGCCCCAGCAGCCTCCAACCTTTCCTGACCTGGTCCCTTTACCTTCAGAGGTTGGGTGGGAGCTGTACATTTTGCCTGGGTGCCCTGGACATGGATTTGCCTCCTGTACCTAGTTTTGAGCTGGGCCAGCAGCAGTCTTAACTGCGTTTTCCAGCTGTGAGCTGAGACTCAGAGCCCTGGCTAGCTGCCAGCATGATGGGAGGGCCAGGCCACCTCTCTGCCCCATTCCTCCTCTCTGAGAGACCAGAAGGGGTGGCCCAATAGCTCCCATAGTTATAAATAGTCTGGGAGGTGGGGAGGGGAGCAGGGCCTTGGCTCAGAGCCCAGCGAGTGCTTAAATTCCTCACGCCACACAAACAAACCTGGGAGAGGAGATGGACAAAAGCCAAGCTGGCCTGGAGGCAGTTGCCATGGAAGCCCTTAGCTGATGGGCCATCTCCCCAACGCCCTCAGACATGCCCCCAGCTGACTCTTGAGGGTGTCACAGGGCAAGAACCTTCTCTAGTGAGAGGACAGGCTACAAAAGTGCTGGCAGAAGGCTCATGGACAGCACCCTCATCCTGCAGGCCCAAGCTCCTTCTCCCAGTCCCCCAGCTGATCCCCAGAGCCCTCTCCCCAGTCTGAGCTCCCTGTTGAACAGATCTCCATATGGCCCCCGCCTCTGGCTTAAACCGACCCCCAATCTTCTTCCCCCATGATAATTCCCACCTTGTGGCCTCTAGGTCTGACCACCGTCCTGCTTGGATGCCAGACTTGGTTGCCATAGCGTCTCCAGGGAGACGGAGACGGATTATAATTAGATCAACTGCCTCCTGCTCTTCACTTGAAGGGGCCCTGGCCAGAGTGGGGATCCTAACTCTCCCATCCCCCACACCATGCAGGCAGGAGGGTGTCTGCTGCTAGAGAGGGGGTACTGTAAATAGGTGTGTCCCAGGCCTGACCAGGGCAGTTGTCAGGGTGGAGGACTGTGGCCAGGCCCAGGGATAGTCTGTATTACTCTTTTCTCTGCAGATGGTATGGTATATGCACTGGGGGGAATGGGCCCTGACACGGCCCCCCAGGCCCAGGTTCGGGTGTATGAACCCCGCCGGGATTGCTGGCTGTCGCTGCCCTCGATGCCCACACCCTGCTACGGGGCCTCCACCTTCCTGCATGGAAACAAGATCTATGTCCTGGGTAAGGACCTGGGGATGTGCCAAAGTGGCTTGAGGTCCAGAAGCTTCAAATGTATCCCTATAGGTTAGTCTGGGATGGTGGGACAAGAGCCCCTTTGTTGGGTTGAGTCAGGGTTGCTCTGAGGCGCTTTCGGTGGCCCTGCTGAGGCTGGAAAACCAAAGCCCAGCACCTATGGGTCTTCGAGGTTGATCCATGCTCTGGTGTGCACACAGCTGGGTATGGGTGGCTGGGGCGGGCAGTGGTAAAGGCTCAGCAACCTGGTAAAAGAAGGGCCTGCCAGGCCCACCCCCACTAGGGCCGCCTCCCAGGTGCCCCAATTCCATTGGCAGGGGGCCGCCAGGGCAAGCTCCCAGTGACTGCTTTTGAGGCCTTTGATCTGGAGGCCCGTACCTGGACCCGACACCCAAGCCTGCCCAGCCGCCGGGCCTTTGCCGGCTGTGCCATGGCCGAAGGCAGCGTCTTTAGCCTGGGTGGCCTGCAGCAGCCCGGGCCCCACAATTTCTACTCCCGCCCACACTTTGTCAACACTGTGGAGATGTTCGACCTGGAGCATGGTGAGCAGTGGTTGGTGTGGGCTACCCTCCCACTCTCCGTGGGCTGGAGGGGTGCAGAGTGCGTGAGGGGGCTAGCTCTCACCTCCTCGCCTCTCCTGCAGGCTCCTGGACCAAGCTGCCACGCAGCCTGCGCATGAGGGACAAGAGAGCTGACTTTGTGGTTGGCTCGCTTGGGGACCACGTCGTGGCCATTGGGGGCCTTGGTAAGTCTCTGTGGGGCTTGGGATAGGAGGGGAGCCCGAGACAGGAAGCAGTAGCCCTCTGCCTGAGTACCACCTCCTGCCCTTCTCTAGGTACTCCAGGGGTCAGGACTTCATGAGTTTCCCTTTCCCAACCAGTCAGTGGGTGGTCTACCTGGCTCAGCCTTTGGGGTGTCTCTCAGCACCTAACTGTGGGTTCTGCAGCAACAGGGGCCCAGAAGATAGAAACAGGACAAATGACCCCTGAATGAATGGAGAAGTGGGAATGTGAACGAACAGATGAATGAGTAATGAAATGGGGCAACGGGTAGCAAGACCCTGGGTATCCCGTCGGGTAGCAAGACCCTGGGTATCCTGTCCCGGGGCAACGCATGCTGGGCCATGCTGTGGGCTCAGGGAGCAAACGATCTACAGCCCCTGCAGCCTGTGCCCTTTACACACTCTGTCTCCTTCTGGCAGGAAACCAGCCGTGCCCCCTGGGCTCTGTAGAGGCCTTCAGCCTGGCACGGCGCCGCTGGGAGGTACTGCCAGCCATGCCCACAGCCCGCTGCTCCTGTTCTAGTCTGAAGGCTGGGCCTCGGCTGTTTGCCATCGGGGGTGTGGCCCAGGGTCCCAGTCAGGCTGTGGAGGCACTGTGTCTGCGTGATGGGGTCTGAATGCCTGATGGGACCTGTCCACAGGAGCAGTTCTGTGCCAGGAGCGGGTGTCTGTGGTTCCTTTCACTGCTGAGAAAGCTCACTGTGGCTCTGTGGGATGAGGGAGACACAGGGCAGGGCACTTGAGACACTGCCCCTGGGACGTGGGGGTGGCCTTCATCTTTAGCACAGGACACACACACCCTTCTACCCATCTTTACTCCCATCCATTCGTGGACCATGCCCAGCTCCACCCTTGCTCTGGAAACTATTGGGCCCTCTGACCAACTGGGAAGTGGGAGAGGGCAGAGTTGGCCTCCCGCCCCACGGCTCGGTGCCCACCTGGAGTTGATCAGGCCCACCCCAGTGGCTATTCCTGAAAACTCCTCGCTGTCAGCCTGCCTGGAAGGCCCCCGTGGACCCAGAAGAGTTCAGAGAGGGCGGGAACACAGAGGGGTGTAGGCGTCGATGTGGGGACCTCCAGAGGGCCAGAAGAACATTGACTGTGGGCCCTTCACACTGCTGGCTGTGTGACCTCGGGCAAGTCACTTCACCTCTCTGTGCCTCAGCATCCTCATCTGTAAATGGGGACCTCGGGGACCTTCCTGCCCTGCCTACCTCACAGGGCTGTTGTGAGGACCGAGGGGGTTCAGATGTGGAAGTAAAAGTGCTGCTAACTCCAGCTTGTGGCCTCTGCTGTGGACTCTATGTTACCTCTGTTACCCCTATGTTACCTATGTTACCCCCCATGTCCTTGGCTCTCTTCTGGGGACCTCAGTTTTCCCAGGGATGAGGGTCTAGAGGAGCCTTTAGGATCTGGCCTCAACCCTCAAAGGGTTCTACCTAAGAACTCTTTGAGGTGAGCAGAGGCCCACCTAAGCCTCTGCTCCTCTTCTGTGACTTAGGATGACCACCCTCTCCCACTGCCCTGGGTGTTACAGCTCACAAAACAAATACCACATAATTAAAATGACCTCCAGATCCATGTCACACAGCATCTCCTCCAGGCCTCTGCTCACCTCCATGGTGGTGGTGGGGGTGGGGGTCCAGTGGGGGTTGGCTCCCTCTGTCCCAGCTGTGGGGAAGCTGTCTCTTAGGGATGGCAGTGTGGCCACTCACCAGACGCCCTGGAGGCAGTAGTCTCCCAAAAATGCAAAGCTGCCAGCCCTGGCCTCCTCCTCCAGTCTTTGCTGCCCACCAATAGGGGCTGCTAACTCTGCTTTCCCTGCAGCCATACTGACTGCAGGAGGTTCACGGTTGGGTTTGTGGCCAGAACGGATTTGGGGTCCTGGAACCCACCTGCTGTGTCCAAGGTAACCCTCATGGACTGTTAGCCTGGGACGTTAGCACAAGGCGCCACGGCACAAGCAAGAGAGGAGGCAGGCAGAGGGCCCAGCTTACTGTTCTCCAGCCTCTGAGACCTGTTGGGCTGCAAGCACAGATGGGCCTCTGGGTCAGCCATCCTTGTTTAATGTTCTGGACCAGTTTAGACACTCAGAGACCCCAGCGTGAAGATAATGCTGCAGCAGCTTGGGTCTGGGGATCCCCGGGAGGTCAGGCAGCGTGTCAGTGACTGGGGTCTGGGGGCCCATGTTGTCGCTGCCACAGTGGCCACCCCGGGAAGGCTGGCAGAAATTCTGCTGGTAGGTGGTGTTGACGCGGGGAGGCTGGATCTGCACAAAGTGGACAAGGCGCTGGGGGAAGTCCCTGAGTCCTGGCCCGGACCGGAATTGGGTCTGGTAGGAGGATTTGAGGGGCCGCAGCTGGCGCAACTCCAGTTCACAGGGTGCCCAGCGCAGGAAGGTATGCTGCTGCCACAGGCGCTCCAAGTCTTTCCGCCTTCCGATTCCCTGTAGCAGGCAGTAGGGCCCCTTCTCAACGGTATGGGCCCTTGGCCCACAGTCTCGGCACCAGGCGATTCCTTGGGCCCCTCCTATACCCCAGCAGGCCTGGTGATGCCTGGCCTCCCTGGCCTGCACCCCAGCCTCTTTGAACTGCATCCCAGCCATGCCTTCCTTTCTAGAGTGAATAGAGCCCCAGAAAGTCAGTGGCCCCTAGGATATTTGCACATTTTCAGGCAAACTGATGGAGGAAGCCAAAGCAGAGGGACCTCTGTTTGGGGAATGGCTGTTTGCCAGAGGAAAGAGGTTATCAGGCAGACAGACACTCCTCTGGATAAAGGAGCCTGCTCTGCCCACCATGGCTTATCCCCTCCACCCTACCTCAATTTCAACCTAGGCTGGAGGGCTGCCCATTCTCCTTCCTCTCTCCAACACTCACCTTGTCAAAGGAAGTGCGGTTGTCATGCTTGGAGAAGAAGTGTTGCTGTGGTGGTTCCTTGAAAGACAGAAAGAGGGTGAATGGGGAAAAGTGATGCTTAGCTGTCCCTAAGATGCTACCTGAGGGTCCCATAATGGAGAGAAGTTGCCAGGTGCCACCACCCCTAAACTGCCAACATCCTGAAAGGGCAGATACAAATTAAAGCAACAGCTTATTCCTGGAGCATCTCATCCCAGCACTTGCCCCCAAAGCAGAAGCCTTTGGGGTCTCCGATTGAGAGAGGGGCTGAGGCATCTTACTGGACATCCTTCATCAGTGGGGCAGTACTTTAAGTCCCACACTGGGCCTTTAACCCTAGATTGTTCATGACTAGGCTCTAGCTCTCTCCTCTTCTCTTTTGCTCTCTCATCAGTGACCCAGGCTCTTGGCCCTAAATATTATACTACCTGGAAACCGACATTTCTCTTTATAGCTTGAGCTCTCTCCTGAACTTCAGACTAATTAGCCAACTGCCTGCTCCATATTTCCATGTAAATGTCTAATGGACATCTCCAAACACATGTCTTGGTTCTGGGTCATTCCGCAAAACCACCCCACCTACAGCCTCCCCCAGCTCAGGTCATGGCAGTTAGATCTTGCCAAACACCCCAGAGGCCCCTTGATTCTTCTCTTTCACACCCTGAATCCAGTGTGCCAGGAAATCCTATGGATACTTCCTTCAATATGTACCCAGATCAGACCACTTCTCATCATGGCCACTGCCTTCTCTGGTCTAAGCCACATTCTTCTGATGCCTGAATACTGCAAGAGCTTCCCACTTGGTGTCCCTGCTTCTAGCCTTGCCCCTCCAGCCTCCTGTCCTCTTAGCAGGCAGAATAACTCTTAATATGTAAGTCAGATCACACTCCTGGTTTGCCAAAAATCTATAGTTCCTCATGTTTATAAAAGTCAAAGTCATCATAGTGGTCCATGAGACCCACATGATATTGATTTCTTCACTACCTCCAGCCACACTGCATCCTCATTGCTCCTCAAACACACAAGCTACTTCCACCTCGGACCTTTGAACTACCTCTTACTTCTGCCTGGGACTCTTCTCCTGGCTGGCCATGACTCCTTCTCACCTGTCACTTGGGAGGCCTTCCTTGACCACTAGAGTTCCATCGCCCCAACCCTGCATTTTTCACCTTCTAACATATTGTACGACTATATATATTGCTATTCATCATCTGATGCCCCTGACTAGAACACAAGTGCCTCATGGGTAAGGTCTGTCTTACTCACATCTGTAACTCCAGGACTGAGCTTGGCAGTGTGCTCAATACGTTAGCTGTTAAATCAATGAACAAGGACAGGGACTTCCCTGGTGGTCCAGTGGTTAAGACTCTGAGCCCCCAAGGCAGGCGGCCTGGGTTCAATCCCTAGTCAGGGAATGAGATCTCACATGGGAACTAAGAGTTCCCATGCCAAAAAAAAAAAAAAGTTCCCATGCCACAGTTAAAGATCCCACATGCAGTAGTGAGGGGCTTCCCTGGTAGCTCAGCTGGTAAAGAATCCACCTGCAATGTGGGATACCTGGGTTTGATCCCTCAGTTGGGAAGATCCCCTGGAGATGGGAACAGCTACCCACGCCAGTATTCTGGCCTGGAGAATTCCATGGACTGTATAGTTGCAAAGAGTTGGACACGACTGAGTGACTTTCACTTTCACGTGCTTCAGTGAAGATCTTTTTTTTTTTTCTTTTTAAATAAGATAGATCTTTCATGCTGTAACTAAGACACAGCACAGTCCAATAAATAAATGGCTTTTAAAAATTATTTTAAAAAACAACCTACTATATAGCACAGGGAACTCTAAGACAGACTCTGTAATGACCTATATGGGAATAGAATCTAAAGACGAGTGGATATATGTATAAGTGTAACTGATTCGCCTTGCTGTACAGCAGAAACACCACATTGTAAATCAACTATACTCCAATAAAAATTATTTTTAAAAATAGATTTTTTTTTATAGATTTTTTTTGATGCACCACATGCTTTGTGGGGTCTTAGCTCCCCAACCAGAGATTGAACCCTGGGCCCTCAGCAATGACAGCATGGAGTCCTAACCACTGGACCACGAGGGAATTCCAAGATTTTATAGATTTAATACATACACAAATGGGAAATCTGAATGAGAGAGGTGGATTACATCCGTGTCAATATCCTGGTGGTGATAATCTACTATAGATTTGCAAAATGCTACCACTAAAAAAAAAAAAAAAATGCTACCACTGAGGGAAACTGGGCAAATCATAAAAAGGATCTCTCTTTACAACTTCTTCCAACTGCCTATGAATCTACAGTCATCTTAATGCTGCTACTGCTGCTGCTAAGTTGCTTCAGTCGTGGCTGACTCTGTGCGACCCCATAGACAGGAGCCCACCAGGCTCCCCCGTCCCTGGGATTCTCCAGGCAAGAACACTGGAGTGGGTTGCCATTTCCTTCTCCAGTGTATGAAAGTGAAAAGTGAAAGTGAAATCGCTCAGTCGTGTCCGACTCTTCTCGACCCCATGGACTGCAGCCTACCAGGCTCCTCCGTCCATGGGATTTTCCAGGCAAGAGTACTGGAGTGAGGTGACATTGCCTTCTCCGAGTCATCTCAGTGAAACTTCAATTAAAAAATCTAGGGGTCTGGGGCATATTCCAACTGCCCCCCTCCCCGATTGTTCCTGCATCTCTATCCTCAGCCATGAAACTGTACACAGTCCTAGAATGTGGATGCCTCAGCTATTGAAGGCAGCTCTGACTTTGGAAACTCACTATTCTTACAGTGACAGGATAATCTATCAACTCCCACTGACTTGAGTTTTATTCTCACAACTGTGGGAATCTGGTGAAAAGTGCAGTCATTTCCTCTCCGCCCAGGCAGTTCAGAGTATTCTTGTCCCCAAGGAGAATTTCACCTGCATCTTTGCTTCTAAACCACCGAGGGCTCCCTTTCCATTCAGGTAGTAAAGCTCATGGCCTCTGAGCAGGTAGGGCTTGGGCTAGGATACAAGCAGAAGAGTTCTTGGGGGAGAAGTAGGTTTCCTGGGATGGGTCGGTGTTTGCCAGTGGGAGGGCTAAGAGCCCCTGTGGAGGCTGAACAGGGTGCAGCTAGAGGGGTACTGAGTTGGGGGGGCCTCTGTGGCAGACTGAGGTGTGGTGGGGGTGGGGCACACAGCAACCACGGTACCACAGGACCTGCCTCCAACCATGAGCCCCTGGCTCTTTGGTCTGACCCGGAGAACAAACAAGCCCAGGATTAACATTTCCCAAGAGTCAGGCAGGTGAAGGCTAGAAATAAATTAGTCTGGTTTAAAAGAAAAAAAGAGTAAAAAGAAAAAAGAATTTTCTTGCATCTGAATGACAAAATTCATACCTGCCCCAAACTAAAGGTAAACGGATGCCACATATTGGAAAGGTTTTCAACAAGAATAGCTGCAGTCAGCTAGCTGACACCTGGTATCTCTCAGCAAATAAGGGGGAAAAAATGTGCACCTTCCCAGAGCAGTTCCACTAATTAAAACACTTTAGATCTAGTCAGGAGACCTAGCATTTGTACAACCTAAAGCCATGCTATTTGGGGTTGCTGATAATGCCAACATGTAACAAGTCTTGACTTTAATCAGAACAGGTCCCCAAATATGTCCCCTACTCTGTTCGTGGGAGGGTTGAGAGGATATTCAGGTCTTTGGGATGAGAGCTACCACTGAGGACTACTACAGACACCAAGCAGGACGTGCCCAGTTTGCCTCTGTCCCTGCGCTACCCAGATCTCATCATTCTCTCTGGGGAGGGGGCCCTAGAGGAGCAGTCTGGAGTCACATTTGGGCTTAGTACGCACTGACAGATAGCCCTTCCAACTGAGCACGGTGAGGAAGCTCAGGCTCTGCGGCATGGCAGACTCTAAGACCCTGCTCCTGGCCTGGGAAAGCAATTTGTAGCGAATCCAGATGGCGCAGGGAGCAGGACCTGGCTAGAGGCCGGGAAGCTAGAAGCTGCAGTGGGCGGGGCATGTTCCAGGCACACCTCCAGGTCCCTCCTCCACCCTGCTCTTTGCCAGGAGTCTGATGTGAACTCAGTTCTCACCAGGCTGACTTCCCTCAGACCTGAAAGGAAGCTGGAAAGGAGATGGAGGTGAGGGAGATCTTTCTTCTCCTGGCTCCCTTCCAGGCCGGCCTCACCTGCCTATCTTACCACTTCTCTCAGGAAGCATGGAGGGCACAGGAGTCCGGCATCCCTCTCCTGTTATCCAGAAGCCTTTTCCAGCCACTCTAGGCCACTTCTGCCATCACTCCCAGTCCTCCTTGGTTGTGCATGGAGGTGAATGTGTGTATGTGTGTGTGCCAACCAAGTTGCTTCAGTCATGTCTGACTCTGTTGACCCTATGGACTGCAGCCTGCTAGGCTCCTCTGTCCATGGGAGTCTCCAGGCAAGAATATTGGAGTGGCTTCTATAGAAGCCATGCCCTTTTCCAGGGAATCTTCTCAACCCAGGGATTAAACCTGGGTCTCCCGCCTTGTAAGCAGAATCTTTACCATCAGAGCCACTAAGGAAGCCCATGGGGGTGGATACATGCCACTTTTCATGCTGTTCTCCTGACCAGCGGAGGCTTGCTTCTCACTCCTGAGCCCCTGGACGACGAGGCTGACTGTGAGCTAGACCACTGACTTTCAGGGCATCAGGGAATTCATGCTGAAGGACAGTTGTCTGCAAAACTCAAGGCATACTTCTTGGGTTCTGGAGGCTCTCTCACTCCATGATCACCCATCCCACCTTGGCCCTGATCCTTCCTCCATTTAGAAGGAGCAGTGAGCAGCACTGTCCAGCCCGGTACCGGCTCTTATACACCCTGTCTGTGGTGGGGAGGTCTGACATTTCAGGGACGAGGGCTCAGGACTCATGCAAGTCCTGGGGATAGGCTGGCCTCGGGTGGCAGTTCAGCTGTGGTTGGGCTGAGGATGTTGCTCTTGCGGCCTGAGAGCAGCAGAATGTGGCCCAGCTGCCTGCAGGGCTGCTTCCTACCTGACAACGCTGCAGGAACACTGCTGGAGGCTGGGGCTTGGCTGCAAGGCGGTATTCTCGAGCACTGTCACTCCTGAATTGGCCTCTGTAGTGCCCATAGAAGCCACTGTTGTGCTGTAACAAGGCAGGCTTGAGCGTGAATCCCACCCCAAGCCCCCTCCCAAGTCTTAGACCTCCCAGGCTAGAAGCCTTTCCTGGGCTTTCCTGACAGAATAAAAAGAATCAGAGGAGGAGGGACACCCTGGAGCGGAGCCAGCAGAGGAACGTCTCCATCCATCATTAGAACAGCTGGCCTCAGCCGTGCTGGTCCACCTGGGAGGGTTATGTGTGTAAGCAAAGGATTCCTTCCTTCCTTCTCACCTCCCTCTCTCCTTCTCTCTGTCTCCCTTCCCTCCTTTCTCTCCTTCCTCTCTTCCTTTCTCTGTCTCTCTCTTTCTTCAGAGCATCCTAATGTGGGCCTGCGACCTGCAGCAGTGAAAAGACAGAAAGACCCTGGCTCCTATGAACCTTTCTTCTAGGGAGGAAGTAAGACAAGTGACTAGAGTCAGGAAAGAAAGAAGCTGATGACTGGATCAAGAGTGACAGGCAGCAGGGGACAGCATCTCATGACAATGGGGGTGGTACCTGAACGTGAGGAGGAGTCAGCCACGTAAGGAGCAGTCGAAGAGCATCCTATGTGTGAGAACTGCAAGTGCCAAGATTCAGAAGCCAGAGAGAGACTTGTGTTGGAAGAACCAAAAAAAAAAAAGAGAGAGAGAGAGAAATAACAACAAAAAAAGGCCTTATTGACTAAAAGACTGTGAGCAAGTCGAAGAGAAGTGAGGTGGTCAGGGAGGGACAAGGCCTGGATTGGATTAGGAATATGGATTCTAAGAGGAAGGGAAGACTTCAGTAATGGAGGGAACCAGATGGGTTCTGAGTTGGGGTGACTTAGGAAGCACTGAGCAGAGTTTTGAGAACAGAGACACTATTTAGTGGTGAGGTCCTTCCCTGGGGGATCTGAGAGGAAGTTGCCTTCCTTGTCCTCCCTGCATTAATAAAGGTCAAAGGTCCCTGAAGAGCAAAGATTAAATTGATCCATATTCTGCACCTATTGACAAAGTCATGAACACCTGTTTGTCACACACTTTGCTATTCTGGGGTGAACAGTGCACCATTTGAAACTGGAACAAGGGATGAACTTTCCAAAAGAAGTACTTCACCAAAAGTGGATACTTTTGGAGAGAATTTCAGAGACAAGGACTGGCAGAAGACAGAAATGAGCACCTATCAGGGGTATAAGAAGCTGTATTGTACTGACGTCATGAGGCTGACAACATGGTTGACCATGTCCTGCCAGGGAAGTCCTGTGGCCCGACCTCATTGTTCTCAATGCCCCCTGGGGAGGATCTAGCCCACTCCACAATCACAGCCCTGAGCAGAAAGAACCTGTCCCAAGCTGGCCTCTGGCCATCAAAATAGGCTTCTTATCTTTTCATCCCACTGAGGGCTTGGGTCATCCAACTTGTCTGTCCATCCTTATACTACTTGCTAGACCTTCCTCTCTATTCAGTTTATTTCAACAGTACTTCTGGACCTTGACTGTATTCCAGGCATGGGACATAGGGCTAGAAGAAAAAAGTCTTTACCCTCAAGATGTTCCCGATCTAGAGAGCAGTCAAACTACAGAAGTTTGGGAAGATCAAACAAAAGACTGGGAATAAATGGGGTGGCAAGAGGACTAAGAGGATCACCTAATCCAGGCATGAGACCAGGACACAAGGAAGGGGGCATGGTGTCAGGAAGAGTAGGTCAGCTCTAGGGGGACCACAGAATGGCAGAGCAGGAATGGGCAGTTGGGGGGTCCTCCTTCTAGCCTGGAGGCTAGATAAAACCCTTCTCACTTTACTCCCATGAATCATTCAAATTTCAGGTACTACCCCAGGGCCAGGGACTAGGATTAATTGTAAAGTGCATTCTTACCCAGGAGCCTACTAAAGCACTTTGCATCTTTCCGGGAAAGGAGCAGAAAAGGTAAACTTTCCTCTTGTCTTTTTGAGGCTACTTCTGGAGAATGAGCATCTCAGCAGGTCAATTTCTTGTTGCTTAGTGACAAAGGGAGGTTGTGACTACACAATGCTCCTGATTGTTGAGGCAGTGCCCAGCCTGCTACCCTCTTTGTGCTTTCTGCTCTGTTCTTCCCTTTGAGAGAAACCTGCCCCTCAGCACTAAAACCTGCTTCTCAGCTTGGGAGAGTTCTTATATATAGAAATATATAAGGCTTCACAGTGGAGTCTGATGAACTCACAGTCAATGAAATACCAAAGAACATTTTAGAGGCAAATCCTGTATTTTTAAAACTGTAACCATACTGCCAGGGATATAAATTTAGAATGCATTTCATGGAGTCAGAAGAAATGCTAAAGGGACTGGTGGCTCTTAGGATAAAAATGCCACTTCAGATTAAGGCTCCGTCAAGTTCTCAAGAGTTTGTGGAAACTGAGAACACCAACTGTTGGCAGGTGAGTGTTACAAGGTCCCAAGTGAAGGAGGAGAGAGCATAATAGTGGAGCAAAAGCAGCAGCATGAAAATATCTGACACCATGGTTCCAGTCCAAACTAGCCTTAGGCAGATTATTGTCTCTCATTTTTTTTTTTTGTCTCTCTCATTTTTAATATAGGCATGTGAACAGTTCACTCCTTTTTCTAACATGAATAAGCTTGTGATGAGCCTCTAAAAATGTGCCAGTGAAAAGTTCAACAACAGGAAACACTCAGTAGGGTTTGTGTCATTGGCACAAGCCCTACTAGCCAGAAAGTCCACCTTATCAGTATAGTTACTCTGGAGATCCCCTCCCACATGTATTCATAACTACAGGAAGTTCACTGCTATATCTGTATAGGGGAAGAACTATAAAAAGGCTGAATGGTTATCTGGAGAACAATGAGAAAATTGGCCTATAATTATACAATAAAATATTGGAGTTGCTATAAATCTGCTACAGATACTTGAGTCCATAGAAATAAATCTTAAAAATGGTAAGTCAAGTAGTTGTAGGGGTAATTCCCTGGCAGTATAGTGGTTAGGAGTTGGCGCTTTCACTGCCAAGGGCTCAGGTTCAATCCCTCATAGGGGAACTAAGATCCCACAAAAGGTGAGATACAGCCAAAAAAAACAAACAAAAAAAATTGTATAATTTGACACAATTTATGTATATACCTACGAAACATAACCACAATCAAGACAGCAAACACATCCATCACCCTCAAGTTTCTTTTTGCCCATTGGTATTCCTTCTCTAGGGTATTCATTGGCCTCAGGCAACTGCTGAGGCTGTTTGTCTTTCTATTATGATAGATTAATTTGCATTTTCTAGAACTTTATGTAAATGGAATCATTCAGTATGTGTTCTTTTGTGAATTTGTCTTCTCACTCAGTATAATTATTTTGAGAATTATCCATGTCATTGTACCTGTCAGCTGTTTATTCCTTTTTATTGCTTAGTAGTTTTCCATTGTGTGGATATACCAAATCTCTCCTCCTGCTCTTTTTTTTAATAATTTATTTTTTAATAGGTTTAATCTTTTAGAGTAATTTTAGGCTCACTGAAAAATGGAGCAGAAGGTCCACAGATTTCTCATATACTTTCTGCTCCCACATATGTGTACATTTATTATAAATGCCGATCCAGGATCAACACATCATTATCACCCAAAGTCCATAGATTACCATAGAGTTCACTTCTGGTGATGTACCTTCTATGGATTTGGACAAATGTATAATAACATGTATGCACCATTATATTAGGTTGGTACATAAGTAATTGAAGTTTTGCATTGCTGAAAGTTGCCATTTGATATTGGAATACATTTTTAAATAAATGTGGTTGTTATACATCATTTTAATGTGTATTTCTTTATGTGTTTTTACTAATGACTTATTATTTATCATTTACTTTATATTTATTTTAGACCAGGGAAATGATGTCAGATAAGAAGCAAATTCGAGCAATTTTCTAATTCAAGTTCAAAATGGTTTGTAAAGCAGCAAACACAACTCACAACATCAGTGAAGCATTTGGCCCAGGAACTGCTAATGAACATACAGTGCAGTGGTGGTTCAAGAAGTTTTGCAAGAGACAAGAGCCTTGAAGATGAGGAGCATACTGGTCGGCCATCAGAAGTTGGTAACTACTAATTAAGAGCAATCATCAAAGCTGATCTTCTCACAACTACACAAGAAGTTGCCCAAGAACTCAACATTAACCAGTCTATGGTTTGGCATTTGGCATTTGGCAAATTGGAAAGGTGAAGAAGCTGAATAACTGGGTGCCTCATGAGTTGACTGAAAATTAAAAAAAAAAAAAAGTTTTGAAGGGTCATTTTCTCTTATGCTGTGCAACAACCACAAACCATTTCTCAATCAGATTGTGACATGAGACAAAAAGTATGATTTTATACAACTGGCGACAACCTGCTCAGTAACTGGACCTAGAAGAAGCTCCAAAGCGCCTTCAAAGCCAAATTTGCATCAAAAGAATGGTCACAGTCCCTGTTTGGTGATCTGCTGACGGTCTGATCCACTACAGCTTTCTGAATGCCAGTGAAACCATGACATTTGAGAAATATTCTCAACAAATCAATGAGATGCACCAAAATCTACAATGCCTGCGGTCAGCAATGGTCAACAGAAAGGGCCCAATTCTTCTCCACAACACCTGACTGTACGTCACACAACCAATGCTTCAAAAGCTGAATGAATTGGGCTATGAAGTTTTGCCTCATTGGCCATACTCACCTGATCTCTCGCCAACTGACTACCACTCCTTCAAGAATCTTGACAACTTTTTGCAGGGAAAATGCTTCCACAACCAGCAGGAGGCAGAAAATGCTTTCCAAGAGTTCCTCATTTCCTGAAGCATGGATTTTTATGCTACAGGAATAAACAAACATTTCTCATTGGCAAAATTATGTTGATTGTAATGGTTCCTATTTTGATTAATAAAGATGTGCCTGAGCCTAGTTATGATTTAAAGTTCATGGTCCAAAACTGCAGTTACATTTGCACCAACATAATAGTATCATACACAATAGTTTCACTGCCCTAAAAACCCTCTGTGCTCCACTTATTCAACCCTCCCGCCCCCTCTAGCCTCTGGCAACTAGTGATCTTTTACTATCTTCATAGTTTTGCCTTTTCCAGAATATCATACGGTTGGAATCCTGCAGTAGGTAGCCTTTTCAAGCTTTGCCTCTTTCATTTAGTAAATGCAATGTACTTAAGTTTCCTCCATGTCTTTTCATAGCTTAATGGATAACTCTTTCTTAGTCCTGAATTTCATTGTCTGGATGTATCAGTTTATTTATCCATTCACCTACTGAAGATAAAATCTCAGTTGCTTCCAAGTTTTGGCAATTATGAATAAAGCTGTTACAAATATCTATGTGCAGGTTTTTCTGCATGCATACATTTTCAACTTTTTTGGGTAAATACCAAAGACCATGATTGATGGATCATTGGTAAGAGTAAGTTTAGTTTTATTTTATTTTATTTTTTTTAAGTTTAGTTTTATAAGAAACTGTCAAAAACGTACTCTGAAGTGGCTGTACATTTAGCATTCCCATCAGCAATGGATGAGAGTTCCTGTTGCTTCATATCCTCACCAGCATTTTGTGTTGCCAGCTTCTGGGTTTTGGCAATTCTTTTTGTTGCTGGGAAAGATTGAGGGCAGGAGGAGACGGGGGTGACAGAGGACAAGATGGTTGGATGGCATCACCAACTCAATGGACCTGAGTTTGAGCAAACTCCAGGAGACAGTGAAGGACAAGGAAACCTGGTGTGCTATAGTCCGTGGGGGTTGCAGAGTTAGACATGACTAAGCCCTTGAACAATTGTTGCATAGTGGTATCTATTTTATTTTGTGTTTCTCTAATGACATACACTGTTGAACGTTTTCCCTGTTTATCTGCCAACCGGTGTATCTTCTTTCAAGAGGTGTTCTGATCTTTAAAGTTCTCTCCTATTGTTGAGTATTTTGAAATACATTTTAGATACTAGTCTTTTATCAGCTAAGTCTTTTGAAACCACATACCAATCAGGTTTTTGTCCCCACTACATCACTAAAACTGCTCTTGTCAAGGTCACCAATAATTAATTCTCATTTTCCTTGATTCATTAGCAGCATCTGACACTAACTTCCTCTTTGATGGATGGTCCCGGAGGCTTCCACAACTCCTCAGAGGTCACTACTGGTGTTCCTCCCCTATCCCTGACCACTCCTACTCTGACTCCTTTGCTGCTTTTTCCTCATTGAAGCCTCTAAACTTTGCGTGTCTTGAGACTCAAAACAATCTGTTTTCCATCCATACTCCTTCATTGGTGATCTCAAGCCATGTCACGGCTTAGACAGCTATCTATAACTATTGTGCATTAAATTGAGAGCATCTGAGAGCGTCTGCATCAGCGAGGGGATTCAGGGCAATGGGTAGACAGCAGGGTATGAGTATGCACGTGTGAGGGTCCCTCTCGTCAGGTGCGTGTGGGCTGGGTGTTGCACAGCAGTATGTGGTGAAATGTAGGTCAGCAGACCTGGCCCACGATAAAGGCTTCACAGTTCAAACCATTAGGACCGTTAAAACCGTTAACAGCTTGCTGCGGCAGGGGCGGGCCCAGAGGGAGGGGGTTAACTCTCATTGGTCAGAGCGCACCCTGGGGGCGTGGCCACACAGCTTTGGCAGTCTCCTCGGAACCAAGCTGCCTCTAGATCAGGCGCGTGCAGGCCCTCTGAGGTGGAGGCAGGAGGGGGTTGGGCAGGTGGGGGTGTTAGGATTAGGGTTAGCCCTTTCTGTCTCTGTGACGAAAGACCACCCTGGCTTCAGCTTCCTTGGGGAGCTGTTTTCGCCAGATTCTTTAGGGACAAAGGCCTCCCGGCCTGCCTCAGAGACCGGGAAGAGTCCGCCCTCGAAGTCAGGGTGAACCGGAACCCAGGGAAACCCACTGGGATTTTGGTCATTGATTATTATGACGGGGAAATACCTTGGAGGGGTCTGGAAAGGACAAGGAACAATTTATTTAGTCTACGATCCCAGAGCTTGTCTCCTGGTAGAAGAGACTGAAAATGAGAAAGCGACTGTACTGAGGTTGAGGCAGGCCTGGTGGAGGCCAGAAAAAAATACTAGTTTTCCCTGTGGCCAAGTAGGGGCACTTGGAGGACGCTGCACTGCGGTCTCAGGATTCTCTTAATTGAAGACGGGGTCAGATGGGAGGGCTTGGAGCCCCTCAGGACACACCCTCTTCAGCCCCATATATTCCTCCCTGCACATAAAGACCCTTGTTGTGGAAATAGTCACTTGCACTGAAACCTTTTCCTTCCTATTCTGCTTCCTTTAATGGGAAACTCAGCCTTTGTGAGTTGTTAATATGTGCATTTCAATTCTCATTTACCTTAAAATACTAAGGTCCAACTAAGAATGACTACCTCTTCATTACTAGTGTTATACTAGGATCTGTGAGGAGAGGGAGTTTTGTAGATGGTATTTCTAGCCTCTGAGAATACAAAAGCATGTATACAGATAGCATGGTGACAGGTGAATGCACAGAGGACAGGTAAGCTGAGACTCTTGGCGCCTCAGGCACCAGGTGGCCATTAAGCACAGTTGGTATAACCATGGAATTTCTTCAACCATATTTAAGAAACCTCTTAAGAGTAAGTTAGGTCTGGAACCTGGGGAGTAGTTATTCTAAACCCCAAACAACAGGTTATATAAATTACTCTATCAGCATAAACAGAAGTGAAAAACAATAGAGGATTTATCATCTATATGTAGTTATAATGACCTTAAATAATGACCTTGTAGTGATATGTATAAAAGTGTCTAGATTCTAAATCTATACTCTAGATGGAGGAAATTCTGCTAGTGTGGACGGAAGAAAAAAAACTCGGACTATCAGAAAAACTCAGACATACAGACCCCTTAGACTGTAGCCCACAAGGCTGCTCTGTCCATGGAATTCTCCATGCAAAAATACTGGAGTGGGTTGCCATTTCCTACTCCAGGAGATCTTCCTGACCCAGGAATCCAACCCAGGTCTCTCCTGCGTTGCAGGCAGATTCTTTACCATCTGAGCCACCAGGGAAGCCCCAAATATGAGGATCAGGAATCCCATATTTACTTTATCTCCTTTATTAAAATATATAATAAAGTCTGTGATGATCCAGGGATTTAAATGTAACAATTGAAAACAATGTGTTTTAAATTTATGGATATTTGGAAAGTTTTGCTCCATTGTCCTAATTTAGTTCCCATTTACTCATCTAATAATATTTTGTATTATTTGCCAGCACTTATTATTTGCTAGGCACAATTTGTAGATTCTGAGGGTATAGCAGTGAACAAAACAGACAAAAATTCCTATCTTCAAAGAGCTTAAAACTACATTCTGGTAGGCATGGGTGTGCATGCTGAGAGACAAAATATGATAAATTAATAAAATATATAATGTATTAGGATGATAGGGTAGAGAAAAAGCAGGGAAAAGACACAGTGATGATGATGATGATGATGATGATGATGATGGTTTTGGCCTCACCACTTGGCATGCAGGATCCTAGTTCCCTGACCAGGGATCGAACTTGTGCTCCCTGCAGTGGAAGCTCAGAGTCCTAACTATTGGACCGCCAGGGAATTCCCATATAAGGGGGGCTTTTGTGTTTCTTTTACTGTGAACCATTGGCTCATATGTCCTGACCATTTTCTGTAAGATTTGTAGTGTGATACAAAATTTTCTTTTAAAAAATGTTATGTAATCAGATTTGTCAGTTTTTTTCTTCTGGACTTTTTGAGTCAAAGTTTTCCCCACTTCCAGGCTATAGAGAAAGTTACCAATTTCCTCTACCCCAGTGCTTTTATGGTTTCATATTTATTTTATCTCCGATTCATTTGTAGTATTTTGTAACATATGGTGAAAGGACTAGATCTGATTTTTTTTTCATATATCTATTCAGTTATCCCAACCCTACTTTAAAATGTTTATCTCTCCCCAACAAATTTGAGATACTATCTTTATCATAAACATACATTTCTATTTTCAGAAAGATTTATTGCTCTGTTCTGTTCTACTGGTTTGTCTATCTAATCCTGTGCCAATTTATGTGATGAGATGTGAGGAAACATCTTGCCTTGTTCCTGATTTTAGTGGGAACGCTTTTTAGTTTCTGACCATTAAGTGTAATGTTAGCACAATATTGTAAATCAACTATGCCCCAATGGAAATTTTTTTTTAAAGTATGATGTTAACTTTGGGTTTGGGGGTAGATGTTTTCTATCAAGTTGAAGTTTCTGTTTTTTTACTTTGTTGAGAGTTTTTATCATGAATGGGTGTTGGATTTTATCAAACGCTTTTTTGTATCTATTAATATGGTTGTATACTTTTTGTTCTTTAGCCTGTTGATGTAATGAATTAGCAGTTCAGTTCAGTTGCTCAGTCGCGTCTGACTCTGCGACCCCATGGACTGCAGTACACCAGGCCTCCCTGTCCATCAGCAACTCAAGTTTACTCACACTCATGTCCATTGAGCTGGTGATGCCATCCAACCATCCTCTGTCGTCCCCTTCTCCTCCTGCCTTCAATCTTTCCCAGCATCAGGGTCTTTTCAAATGAGTCAGTTCTTCACATCAGGTGGCCAAAGTATTAGNTCTGTCGTCCCCTTCTCCTCCTGCCTTCAATCTTTCCCAGCATCAGGGTCTTTTCAAATGAGTCAGTTCTTCACATCAGGTGGCCAAAGTATTAGAGTTTCAGCTTCAGCATCAGTCCTATAATCCTAATGGATTATATTGATTTTCAAATTCTGAACTAGCCTTGCTTGCATCTCCTGTTGTGTATAATTATTTCTATACATTGTTGGATTCAATTTGCTAATAATTTGATGAGGACTTTGCATCTATGTTCATGAGAGACACTGGTCTATAGTTTTCTTTTTTTGTAATGTCTTCGTCTGGTTATATTATTAGCGTAATGCTGGCCTCATAGAATGAGCTAGAAAGTGTCCCTTCTGCTACCTCTTGGGTGAGGTTATACAAAATTAGCATGGTTTCTTCTATAAATGAATTGGTAGAACTTACCTGTGAACCCATCTGGACAATATTGCCAGTTTTTAAAATGAATTTTCTTCCGTTTTCATCTCAATGATCTAACATAGAACCTATTTATCAAGAATTATTAAAGAGAATTTGAGCTAATTATTTAGCCTATCTGAATCTTCACAAGCTTTTAAATGGGGATAACAAAAATCTGCTTCACAAAATCATTAAGCTTATCTTCTGAAATGTGTCTAGCACTGGGCCTAGCACATAGTAGATACTGTGAAAGTAGTACTACCTCTAACCCCTTGATTCTGTGGTCTATTGACTTAACTTTCTTGCAAAACAAATGCTTATAAGCACACAAATACATGTAACTTTTTAGAAAGTTAGAAAACTTCAGTGTAATAAATTTCTCTAAACAAGGTTAAACTATATTAAGTGTATACCAAACTACCTATATTTGTTCAGAACTTATGCTTCATCTTATCTAGATCTATATTGGGGATCTCATATGTGTGGGTATCATTTTCTGATGCTCTCAGTGCTAATATACAATCTGATACATATGAATGTTCTGTGGGATCAAGGAGACAAAATTTGGAAATTGGGCTTGTTTCATAAAATCCAGGCTCTATGATCATCGTATGAACTGTATTATGTAGTATGTTAGATTGTCAGTGAGCAGAGTAGGAAACTGCTGTAAGAGGTGTGGGAAGACACTTTTGCCCAAAACACTTACTCTTCAACCAGCTTCTTACTGCCCAAATTCCACAGCTTTCTTGGCATTCCAATACCCTATGGACTAAGAAGAACTAGTCTTCTCGAGAAAGGTTATAGATTAAGTCATTCATTGTATCAGCCAATGAAAGAGGGGTTTATTGGTCTTTTTCTAAAAGCAGATTATTACTAGAGGTGGCAGAACAAGAAATGAGAGAGCAAAGGATGGAAGGCAAATTTACTTTTTTACAGGTGGCTAGGTTCAGGCTCTGGTACTGAGGGGAATTTGCATGCAATTTAACTGCAAGAAAAAAAAACACAAAACCTATTTCTGGCAGATATGTAATGGGAATTTTCACTAACTGGATGAGAATATAACTGCTGAAATGCCCTCATCTACATATAACAGTCACTGTAAAGTAATCTTTGGAAAAGTACTGTATTAACCTTTTAAATGAATGTTCCTCTCTTTTTAAAAGGAATAATCATAAGACATGAATTTTAATGTCTGGAGTATCAAAGATGTGCTCAGTATTCCCTCAGGCTCTGGGTAAGTTTTCTGGTTATGTATGCTTTTTTTTTTTTTGGTTATGTATTCTTCTACTTGAGAGGGTTGATTTCATGGGAACAGGCTCCCCTTTGTATCGGTTTACAGTAATAGAGTTACCCCGTATATCTTCTCCCCCTTCTCTTCCCCTCGCTTGTCACCACTGAAACCCCCTCATACTGTCTTCTCCCTTTGCCTATTTTCTGATTATAAAATTAATATCAATTCAGCTATGTGTGTTAATTGAACAATGACTGTCCAGCACCAGACCTAGGGACTATGAGGCCTGTGAGAGTTAGACATGGTCCAGCATCTAGAAACTCTTACCTCATTTGGAGTGATTGCTATTGAAACAGCAAGGAGCAAACTCAAGACAATGTATTCAGTTGTGTCTTACAATTTGTAGGTACCATGAAATTAAGAACCACTCCAACTGCTAACAGGGCTCATTGAAATATTGCTCCCTCTACTACTCCGCTGAGGTACTTAGATTGGTGTCCTCTAGCCATGCAGAAGGGCCTGCTATTGCTAGCCTGGTGGGTGTGCCCCAGAAGTGGTATATATGGAGGGATTTCCAATTGTTTCTGGCATGCTTTAATCTTTGAATAGTTTCTTTTCCTCCTAATACCTTCCTAAAGACAGCAAAAAACCTAAAACATTGTTCTTTTTTTTTTTTTCTTGAAAAGAAAAAAAAGGCTTACAGTTGATACAGAGTAGGGGAAAAAATATATGTTTAATTTCAGATCATAGCTTGAAGATACAAATTCTACATGACTTCTGTAGGCTCATAGAGCTGTTTCTTTTCCAGCCCAGCTAATTATTCTCTTTGACCTAAGAAGGGAGTCACAGAGAGCTATTTAGCTATTTTGAGCAATGATTATGCAAACCATATTATAATATATGTGTGTAGCCCATTACCTTAGCTAATCTTAGAAAATGATTCTATGAGTCAAAATAATTTATCTTCTCTGTTCTGAACAAGTAGGGTTTCTTTTTTTCTTGTATTAATATATAATGATTCCTTTGGCTTAGAATATGTAATTTATGTGCTATCTATTTTAAATTTAACATTTGGAAAAGGAATGATCTGCCTGTGTGTTTTAATGAAAAGGATGTTTTCTTGGGTTATACAACAGCATTAAGTAACATAAACTGTTATTGAGAGGTCTTTCAAGTAAAAACTTGAAGACTATATGTTTTGTCTATCCACTTATGTGCTATCTCTGTGTAGACTCAGTACACTGTATTCAAGTGTGATTGCATCATTATTAATATCATTGTCCCCTTCAAATGTGAGATTTAGACTGGCATAGGTATCCATGGGAAGCAAATTGGGGGTCCACAGCTGGGAGTATTTAAAACAAGCAAGGATAAGACACTAAGGTGTGAAAGGGAATAATACAGTGCTTAACGGATCTTTCTGTGTGCAAATCTGAGTTGATCATATTCTTCAGTCTGTATGAGACCTCTATTAGTCTGCTCGGGTTGCCACAACAAAGTACAATAAACTGGATGGCTTAAACAACAGAAAGTTATTTTCTCACAGTTCTGGAGATTGAAAAGTCTTAGAATTGAAAGTCCTATGCCAGCATGACTGGTTTTTGGTGGACTCCCTTCTTGGCTTGCAGACAATTGCCTTTTTCTGTGTCTTCACATGATGGAGAAAGAATGAGGGTAAGCTCTTGGTGTCTGTTCTTATCAGGACACTAATCTCATTAGGAGGGTCCCATCCTCCTTACTTCATCTAATCCTAATTACTTCCTTGAGAGCTTGTTTGGTGGTTCTAGCAGGGGAGCGCAGCTACTCGTATACCCTTGACCGAAGACCGGTCCTCCTCTATCGGGGATGGTTGTCCTCTTTGACCGAGCGCGCAGCTTCGGGAGGGACGCACATGGAGCGGTGAGGGAGGAAGGGGACACCCGCCTAGCCAGCCAGATCAGCCGAATCAACCCTGGTGATCAATGGGGTGACAGATGTCGCAACCAGATCGCCCTCACATCCCCTAATTACTTCCTAAAGGCCCTATTTCCAAAACTCATCAAAATAGAGATTAGGGTTTCAACATAAAATTTGGGGAGGACACATACATTCAGTCCATATCTAGGTCTATATTCTTTTTTTTTTTTTTTAGGTCTATATTCTGATTGTTGTATTACAGCGTCTTCTCTCCCTCTAGTCCTGCTCCTTTCCTTCCCTATAGACACACATTCTAGGGGAGTTAATGTGTATCCTTCCCATTAATCTTCTACATACTCAATTACATACTTGTTTGATATGTATGATGTAGGCTTACAAATTACGTTAATACATGAGAGAGTTCATTACATTTTTATTTTTTTTCACTCAAAATTATGTTTTTGAGACTTATCCGTGTGGTTATATGTAAATCTAGTTTATTGCTTCTGACTACTGAATCAGTTATATGCATAAGCTATATTCTATTTTTAATCTGTTCCCTTACTGATGAATAAATTCAACCTTTTAAAATGTTCTCTTAATCCCTGAAGATTTTATGAACTTTGATCTCCAAAATGGTGTTAAAGCCCGTAATCTTGTTGTACAAGAAATAATGGTTTTAGTCCTTAATGTCTGAATTTCCATCTGATTGTTCCCAGGTTGTTGTAATCAAAATGTCTGGCATTCATAATTTCCTTCTTTCTTTACAGGTAGTACTGGCAGTGTGCAGGGGACTGGGAGGTCAAAAAAAGCTAGCATTCTGCCCAGAATATCCTGAAATAATTTCAAATTATGGTTTTCATTTGTTCAGGATGTTGTCTACTTGATATACTTTTATCTTCTTGCTTAATTTCAGGGCCACTAAGTCGTCTAACTGGAATAACAATCAGACTGATTACTCCAGTCTCAGTGATTCCCAGTTTCTTTTTGGATCCCAGTTCTGTCCAGAAAGTTCACAGACCCTGTCAACACCCTTGGACTCTGAGGTCCACTTGAGACATCCAAAACAGTCACAACAGAATTCTCTGGATGTGAGTTTGAATTCCAGAATTTCTCTTCACATGTTTCACAGTCATTACGGAGATAAACTGTAAAGATGACTTATTGTGCTGGATTATATTTTAGAATTGTACACCTCTAAGGATCACTGCCCTAAATAGATTTGTGTTTGACTGGTGATTCATTTGACTTGGTAGTCTGAAATGGAAAACATTTATATTTGCATTTTCTTCTATTACTAAAGCAACACAGAACATTTCCAGTACTTTGAGCACTCCTTGGGTGTGCCAAATATTACATGACATTTTCTAAGGCTTGTCATATTATTGTTTGTGAATATTCAATAAGAAAAGAGAACTTTAGAAAAATAGGGACAAGTAATATAAATATATTCTATATGGACATTTTTTTCCCTAAGAAACATCAGATGCTTTGTGGATTTTAGTCCATTATACACATTAACTCCTTGAATAAGGAGATGAGGATACTGAGGCCTAAGTTGATGAATAAGGGCCAGAAAGTGTGAAAGTGAAAGTCAGTCAGTCATGTCTGACTCTTTGCAACCCCATGGACTATACAGTACATGGAATTCTCCAGGCCAGAATATTGGAGTGGGTAGCCATCCCTTTCTCCAGGGGATATTCCAAACCCAGGGATCGAACCCAGGTCTCCTGCACTGCAGGCGGACTCCTTATCAGCTGAGTCACCAGGGAAGCCGAGGGCCAGAATCTCTTGATTTTTCGGAGATCAGCTTGTTTTCTTTTGTGAGTCAGAAATATATATATATATATTTATTTTGGTCTAGAACCAGATTTAACTTTATACACAGACTTAACTGCATCAGATAGACTTAATACAATTAGGTCACTACTGTTAACTTAGTAAGGTATGCTCTGAGATAAGCATTTTAGTACAAAAATTGGTACCCAGTGATATGAAGGAGTAAATGTACTACCTGAACATTTCAGAATAAGTTTTGCTTCAGAATGCAGGAAGTGGCTTACCATGTACCATTTACATTACATGTCAAACTTATCAGGAAGTCTAGTTCATCAGCAACTGAGCAACAACTTGAGTTAAACTTATTAATATAAAAACTTTAACACATTATCTCAACACAGCATAATTTTCTGTTGTTCCCTTTAAACTTATACAATTGATTTTAAGCCATTTTAGCTGACATTTTAAATATCTCTGGGCTGGTAAGGCAGAAATTATATTAGTAAAAAGAGTTGCTTTTCTTTAATATAATTTTCTGATGCATATGAAATAAAAAGGAAATACTACATGCTGCATTGGATTTCAGTATTATAGTTTGCACTTAAGTGTAACTCTGCTTTGTGTAGAAAATAGTGAATGCTATAAATATTTTTATGTGTATCATGCTATGATGTTTTTCTTTTCCACTGAACAGAGTGAACCTAGTATTTTCGCAAAGTACCAAACAAAACCCCAGCTGCTTGGAGGAGATACAAAAGATGGAGGCTTGCTTCCTCTTCCTTTGTCTCTTGGAAAACCAAAAGGCCTCTTGGAACAGTTTGAGGAGAAAAAGAAAAGTGCAAAAGACAGATGTGACAGGTACACAAAAACCTTTCAAGTGGATGAGACAGCTTCTCTTTTCTGAGTGAAACAGCAAATGGAATGTCAGTAGTTAAATAATTCAGTTTCAGCATGATAGCATTCTTACTTTTACCGCTCATCTAGTAATTACTCTTCATTTGCTTTCTTAGGCTGCCATAGTTTTGGTGTCTCTGAATATTAAGCTAAAGGACTTCTTAGAGAAATGCAATATTCAAGTAATGTTAGGTTTATTCTGCCTAAAATTCTGTCCTTTTTTTCAGATCAGAATTAGGAAGTTAGCTAACATTTGTTTCAGGGTCAAGAATATAGCACATGAATTCTTAAATCATAGTTCAGGCTGACTTTCTCACTTTGAAATGTTGGTATTTTTAAATATATAGCCTAAATTTTATACATATTCTTATTTGTTTTATATATATATATATAATATATATAAACAAATTTAGGACTACTACATTAATTTGTAAATAAATAAGTTGCAGTCACTGAGGAAATTAACTTGTTCATTTCTCCATAGTAAGTTATTATCAGGACATCCTTAGTTATCACAGAAATTGTAATGCCCAAGCAGAAATATACTTTATTATTTCTGTAACAGTAAAGATGTGTCATTTAGCATCACCACTAATACTTCCATGTTGTTTTTGTTGTTGTTCAGTTGCTCAGTCGTGTCTGACTCTTTGTGTTCCCACAGACTGTATGTAGCCCACTAGGTTCCTCTGTCCATGGGATTTTCCAGGCAAGATTACTAGAGTGGGTTGCCATTTCCTTCTCCAGGGGATCTTCCCAATCCAGGGATCAAACTCCTATCTCCGTGTCTCCTGCATTAGGAGCCAGAATTTCTTAAAGAATTCTAGATTAGGAATTCTTTAAAAAATTAGGTATATTCTCCACTATATACCTATATTCCTTTAGTGAGAAAAGCAAAATACTCTATTTGAAGTGTTTGATTCTGTTGGTAAGTAAACACTTCCCAGATGTTGACAGATTTCTTTCCTCTAGGAATGTAGGCTCTAGGATTCATAACAATGGTACAGTACTACTGATGAGCAGGCTCCTCTCATCTTACTGCTTCAAATAAATTAGTCTTAAGTTTTTTGTTCTCTGGGCTTTTGGATTATATTATTTTGTTTGACCACAATTTCTGTAGCTTAAAAAACTTTTGGAAACATTAAGTCCTTGATATTTCCTTCTTCCCTCTCTCTTTCCCTCCCTTCCTTCCTTTTTTTATTTCATTTTTCATTTCCTTTGCTTTTTTCGTAGTGAAATGAGTTTATTTATTTTCTTTTCCTTTTTTTTGGTTGCATGGCTTGTGGGATGTTAATTCCCAGACCAGGGTTTGAATCAAGGCCCTCGGCATTGAGAGTGTAGAGACGTAACCACTGGACCACCAGGGAATTCCCAGAAATGAGTTTCTGTTAATAATTATTTACAAGATGGCAAAAATTATAGTATTTATACAGAAAGAAAAGATGATAAGGACACTGAAGATTATATTTTCCATTAAAAAAATTTCAAGTTTATGATATTGATTTAAACGCTAAGCAGAAAATCATAATTTTCATAAATTCTGGCAAAAACAAACCCCATTTTAGATTGCTGTTTTCTGTCCATAAGTGCTTGTCAGAAATGTGATGAAGAGTGAGAAATGTTTAAATGAGAGACAGAAAGTATACCATTGTAAATTTGGAAGCAGAAAAGTGATAAGGCATGGTACAGAGTTAACATAAGAGATGCTACTAATCAATAAAACATGTATTTACATATTGTGTTTTGAAAGTACATTTTTTCCCAAATGAGTAAAAAGAGCATATGAGGTTAAAAAAATCTCAAAAGAAGCCTTACTCATTTACATTGCATTTGTTATAACTCTTTTGATACCAAATAAACTAGCCTGGATAAAAAGGAGGCTATATTAGCTCTCTGAACCAATCTGGGAAGGACAGGGAATGAAACAAAATCAGAATCTGTCTCTTTTCTGTGCTTCTCTCCCCATCTATGCTTCATTCTCTCCTCCTAGAGACCAGCTTCCTACTAACACAGAAAAAGAGACTCTCACCCCTTAGTTACAATTTGAAAATCCTAGTGAAAGCTTCTGATGGATTTATTTATTTTGTTATTGAGGGGTGAGTGAAGAGGGGGATGTGACTTGAAGTTCTCATCATAATCACTTATTGGATGCAACAAGAAACAATTCTCCAATAGAGGTGGATGCTGGGCATACCAGACAATGGATGTTCATTACCCAGATTATTTTTTTTTAATCAGTTATGTTTGAGAAAACAGATTAGTCTCGTAACTAATGAATAACCTAAGGACCACAAGGAGATTATAAAATGAGCCATATTCTTTCAAGATTGGGGATCACCACAGTGAAATCTGTTCATTCACTCACTCAATAAATGCTGTGCTAGGCTCAATAGGGCACACTGGGGATCCCAAGGGGAGGAATAATGGTACCTGTTTTTGAAGTTCTCAGTCTTGTTTCAGAAACAGGTATATGATGGATAAATTAACAAGTGAGCCAGAGTTAATAGCTGTGAGCAACAGAAATAACTATTTAAATGAAAAAGGAGTTTATTAAGAGGGTATTGGAATGGCTTCTGGTTTTGAGTAAGACAGAATAAGCATACAACATCCTATTGCTCCCACTGAATGCAACCAAGCCCTGATGGTGTGCATGTAGCATCTGAGGGCTCTGAAAAATAAATAGTAGCAGGTAGATTGAGGAAGGGAACTTGAATTTGAAGTATGATAGCCTAGCATTGAGATTTCTGGGGTTTTGTTTTTAACTAAAATGTAAGATGTTTGCTCTGTGACAGACACTGTTAAGAAAATGAAAAGACAAGCTACAGACTGGAAAAAATATTTGCAAACCACATTTTCAACAAAGGACTTGTATCCAGAATATATCAAGGACTCTTAAAACTCAACAGTAAAAAAACAAGCAACTGAATAAAAAAATGGGAAAAAATTTTAGCAGACACTTCACCAAAGAAAATATATGGATGGCAAATAAATACATGAAAAGTTTCTCAACACCATTAGCTATTTTGGAAATACAAATTAAAGTCACAATGACATTACTAATATGAGTAGATGATATTACTACTCATCTATTAGTGTGACTAAAAATAAAACAGACAAAAATTGACAATGCTGGGCACGAATATAGACCAAATGGAAATCTTGCTGGTGGATATGCAAAATGATACAGCCCCTTTGGAAAAGTTTGTCAGTTTCTTACAAAATTAAATTATTTACTATCTGCCTCTGCAGTTCTACTCCTAGGTATATATCCTAGATAAATGAAAACTTATGTTTTCATAAAAGTCTATACAATCAAGTTTATTGTAGCCTTGTTCATAATCATCAAGAACTGGGCACAACCCAAATGTCCTTCAATGTATGAATGGATAAACCATGGTACGTCCATACAATGGAACACTACTCAACAATGAAAAGGAATAAACTATTGCTACACAACAACATGAGCCTTAAAAGCACTCAGTTCAGTTCAGCTCAGTTGCTCAATAGTGTCCAACTCTTTGTGACACCATGGATTGCAGCACGCCAGGCTTTCCTGTCCATCACCAACTCCCAGAGCTTGCTCAAACTCATGTCCATTGAGTCGGTGATGACATCCAACCATTTCATCTTTTGTCATCCCCTTCTCCTCCCGCCTTCAATCTTTCCCAGCATTAAGGTCTTTTCTAAGGAGTCAGTTCTTCGTATCACATGGCCAAAGTGTTGGAGCTTCAGCTTCAGCATCAGTCCTTCCAATGAATATTCAGGACTGATTTCCTTTAGGATTGACTGCTTTGATCTCCTAGAGGTCCAAGGTGCTCTCAAGAGTCTTTCAAAGGCACTATGCTGAAAGAAACCAGTCCAAAGACTATATGCTATATGATTCAATTTATATGACATTATGAGAAAAGCAAAACAATAGGGATGGGTATTAGGTCAGTGGTTACCAGGGATTAGGGGTGTGGGCTGGTCTTTACCACAATGAGACAGCCTGAAGGATTTGTTTGGGGGATACTGTCTTACATCCTGGTTGTGGTGGTTGTTACATGAATCCGAAATTTGTGATAAAACTCACAGGACTGTGTACACATATATATACAAACTTCCTATGTTAATTTAAATTTTTTAAAGTGTTAAACATTATTGAAAGATATTAAGTGGTTCATTTTATTAGTTAGGATTATGTTCAACTGCGCTGACATATGTACTCTCATTCTCATAATAATAATAGAAGTATTTAAAAGATGCTTATTTTTCTTTAATGCAAAAAATCATCCTGAAGTGTGTGGTTCAGGGCTAGAATGGTAGCTCCATAGACCTCATTGCTCCTTCTAGCAGTGCGGATCTAGCAGATCCCTACAGTATGATCCCTCTCAGTCCTTACAGTGCTTGGAGGTTTTATATCAGATTTCCAGACAGTTGATGGATGAAGGAAGGAAGAAGGGTATTTTCCATTGCCTTTAGGATTTTGTTTTTCTTGGTCATGCCATGTGGCTTGCAAGATCTTAGTTCCTCAACCAGGGACTGAACTTGGGCCAACAGCAATGAAGGCATGGAGTCAAAACCACTGGATTGCCAAGGAATTCCCTAGGATGGAATGTCATCTACCTAGGTGGCAGGGCTTGGCAGGTAGAGATTAGGGATCCAGCTTGCAAGGAAGAAAATGAGGCCAATTTAAGTTTCTGCCAAAGTCATACAATTGCCAACAACTACCTACCGTGGACAACTTTCCAAACAAAGTCTCAAAATCAGTCCCATGTAGATTCTGCTGCCCACGAAACTCTGCCCAGAGTGCAGTGGACCCTTCCGTCCACTGTTGTCAGTGTAGTCCACTTTCATCAGTCCCATGGAGCTCCATCTTTCTACTGCGATAGCCACAGCCACCAGAGAAAGCGGTCACAGTGTTTTTACCCTGACTCCCAATCTGACAAGGTATATGTGAAGGGAGAGCTCAAGTTCAGGAAAAGCTCAGAAAGCAAGCTCCTGGCATTCTCAACCTCAAGAGGAGGAAAGGGACTCTGCCTCTTCCCAATACCCCTAATCTGAGGAGCTCCTCAAACAGTAAAGAGGATCAGATGGAGAACAACCTAAAATAAAGAATCTAGACTTTTCACTCTAAGTACAAATTTGTAAATGCTGTAGTAGAGGTTTCATCCAAATGCTTTGGGAGCCCTGAGGACAGGCTTCCAGCTCTGACTGGGGGCGTGAGGAAAAACTCCATCCAAGGGAGCACATCTAAACTGAGTGGGAGTTTTGGGCAGAGATCTTGGGTCTGTCAGATTCTCAAGTCTGCCTCTGAATCAGCTTACTCTGTGAACCACCATTAACACTGTTTTATATAACTCTGCTCTATTTTTGTATACTTTCAAAAATAAAAATGGAATTGTTTCCTATGGATTATTTTCAATCTCTTTTTTAATTTAATAATATTGAATGGTTATATTTCTGTTTCATCTATAAAATCATTTTGGTGGCTGCATTGTGCTCTTTTATATGGACCATTTAGAGGGCTATGTTTTAAATGTTTAATACATATGAGAAATGCCAAGAATATACAGTGAAGTAATGATAATCTTTCAACAAATGATGTTGGGAAAACTGAATCCCTATGCAAAACAATGAAAAAGGATCTTTATCTTATACCATTAACAAATATCAACTCAAAATGGATTAAAGACGTAAACGTGAGACTTGAAACCATAGAACACCTAGAAGAAAACATAGGGAAAAACATTCTTGACACTGGCCTTGGCAATAATGTCTTGGATATTACACAGGTAACAAAAGCAAGAACAGACAAATGAAATTACATCCAAGTACAGGCATCCCTCAGTATCCACAGAAGACTGGTTTCAGGAGTCCCTGCATATACCAAAATCCAGTGATGCTCAAATCTCATAGTCGGCCCTCTGTATCTTCAATTTTGAATGCACAGATTCAACCAAATGAAGATGGAAATTTCTGTCCATGTTTGGCTGAATCTGCAGATGCAAAACCCTGGGACGTAAAGGGCCAACTCTATTTATTGAATAAAAAATCAGCATATAAGTGGACCCATGCATTTCAAACCAATGTTGTATAAGGGTCAACTGTAAAAAGTTTCTGCTCAGCAAATGAAATCATCAACACAGTGAAAAGGCAACCTATGGGACAGAAAATACTTGCAAACCATATATCTGATAAACGGTTAATATAAAACATTAAATGGATACCTACAACACAGTCACAAAAACAAACAAAATAACTCCGAAATATCCTGATTAAAAGATGAGCAAAGGAATTGAATGGACAGTTCTCCAAAGAAGACATTCAAATGGCCATCAGTTATATGAAAAGATGCGCAGCTTCACTAATTATCAGGGGAATGCTAATCAAAACCACAATTAGATATTATCTCACACCTATCAGAATGGTTATCATTTAAAAAACTAATAACAACTGTTGGCAAGTATATGGAGAAAAGGGAACCCTTGTACACTGTTGATGAGTGTGAAAACTGGTTCAGTCACTTTATTTAATTTTTTGTCACACCGTAAGGCTTGGGGGAATCTCAGTTCCTCGAGGTCAAACCTGCGCCCTGGGCAGTGAAAGCTCAGATTCTTAACCACTGGACCTCCAGAGAATTCCCTAATGCAGCCACTTTAGAAAACAGTACAGAGGTTTCACAAAACATTAAAAACAGAACTACCACATGATCCAGCAATTCCACTTCTAAGTATATACCCAAAGGAATTGAAATCAGGATCTTGAAGAGATATCTGCACTCTCATGTTCATCACAGCATTATTTAAAATAGCCAAGAATGGAACTAACCTAAATATCTATCAATGGATGAATGGGAAAGAAAATATTGTATGTACATACAGTGAAATATTCTTTACCCTTAAAAAAGAAGGAAATCCTGTCACTTGTAACAACATGAATGAACCTGGAAGACATTTGTATAAATGAAATAAGCCAGACATAGAAGGAAAAATACTAATTATATGCTACCACTTATATGAGGAGAGTGAAATAGTCAAACTCATAGAAGCAGAGAGTCGAATGGTGGTGGTTGGTGGGGGAGGTGTGGAGGAAATAGGAAGTATTACTCAAAGGGTACAAAGCTTCAATTTATACAAGATTAATAAATTCTAGAGAGCTACTATACAGCATAGTGTCTATAGTTAACAATACTCTATACTTTAAAATTTGTTTAGAGGGTGGATCTTTGTTAAGTGTTCTTATCACTAATAATAATAAAGAAAGAGGGTAGAAGGAAACTTTCTGACGTGGTAGGTGTATTTATGGCATAGGTTGTGGAGAGATGGTTGCATGGTTGTATACTTGTCTCCAAACTTGTATATGTTAAATATGTACAGCTTTTTGTGTGTTAATCATACCTCCATGAACTAATTTAAAAAACTGAGTACTGACCACTCAGAAGAGATGATGACTACAAGCAACTGGCATAGCTATGTCATTGTGCAAGACTAGGAGTTCTTTTTGTTCAAAATTTCTAAAGCATTGCTCTACTACCTTATAGGTATCTGGGTGCTTTTAAGAGGTCTGCTGCCATGCAGATTCCTGAGCCTGTATATGTCACTTGCTTTTTTATTTCTGCAAAATTTTAGGACCTTCTCATTATCCTTAGAGTTCTGAACTTTTACAGCACTATGGTTTGATGTGGCTTGTCATAAGCCCTTGGCATGGAGGAATTCCTTTTGCCCTATAAACTTGTGTCTTTTGGTTTTGGGATTTTTTTTTTTATTATACCTTGGAAAACCTCCTATTTTCACTCTTCTTACTGTCTGGATCTCCAGTTTTGGTCAAGCATTGAATCTGCTGCATTGATTCTCTAATTACTATTAATTTTTTTTTTTTTTTTTACTATTTGCTTGTGTTTCATCTGTCTTTTTTCTTTTTCTATCACATTTCCATACTGTATCTTCTGGTTAATTCTATTTGTTTAATTTTTGCTATTTTAATTTATAAGTACCTTTTCTTACTATTATTATCTGCTTTTATAATTTAATAGCATTCTGTTCTTATCCTTAGTTCACTAAATTTTTCATTTTAATATTTTTATTGTTTTCAGGTCACGTCTTAATCTTGTTCATAAAACTGTGTGGTTTGTAAGACTCTGAAATGGTTCTATCAAGTTCTTCTTTTAAAGTCAGTCTTGTGGAGCATCTATAAGACTGTGGCATGAAGAGCTGTCCTATTGGGGTTCAAAAATTGATATATGCATTGTATAAAGAAACAAAAATCTGTAAAAAATTTTAATGATGAGCCTTGTCTGATTTTTTTTTCAAAAGTGGGATATTTGGGGAATAATTATGATAATTTATTTTTCATTAAAAATTAATATCATTCCCAGAATTATCTCCATTCTAACAGACAAAATAATAGTCATTAGACTAATATGTGTCCAGGAATTTTTGACTATCCATAGGAAGTCACTATCCTCTGAACCATGTTGCCATAAAAATGAAAGCTGATGTGTTCTACTATAGAAACCACTTGAATTGCTAAAACTCAACCTCACTTAAGATTCATATAGAGTAAATTTTAAAAAACAAAATAAAGTTTTGTTTCACTTTGGAAATGATCATAAAAAGTCAGTGTTCTCCTTTTCTAATCTGGGCACTAAGATTTCTCAGGGTTGAGTCTTCAGCTCCGATCAACCACTGTTTTGATGCTGCGCTGGTAGAATCCTGCTATGTTCATGGAATCAATTTTATTACATACTGTTTAAGTATTTCACAAAGGTTCACTTTCTTTTTTCTCTCTTATTTTAGTGAGACTTTATACAACTTCATTTCCCATATCAGAGAAAGCATTCACAAGGTAAGTATGCCACATTTCAAGGTGTTAAAACATCTTACATTTTAAGAAGTTTAATAATTATATTGTATTGGTTTTTGTTCATGTAAAATAGCAGTATTTTAACTACTCTTTTTTTTATCATTAAGTGACAGTTTGCCAAGTTAGTAAAATGAGGGAACAGTCTGTGAATTATTTCCTAATTTGGGGTTTCTTAGTTACAGACATCAGTGGAAGAGTCTGAGGAACATCTCAGTTCCAAAAGTCAGTCTATTTTGGATTCTTTGGAAACTGTGGCCAAGACATGTGAGTGTCTCATGTTTGAGATTATCGGCAGGGGGCACTGGCGAGCAGTGAATGTGAACTTGCTGACCCTAGTCAGGTTTCTGCCAGTGGTGAGGTTCCATAGAGTGTTTCAGATGAGAGAATGGGTACATAAGATTAGCCCTGAAGAGATGTGGAGCTGAACTGGGTAGCAGGCCCCACCCCTGCATGGGAATGCCTGGTCCCTCCATGCCTTTTTTGAAGCATCAGTCCCCCACCCAGTAACCCAGCTGCTTCAAGGCAGATGGTTCTGTCAGATTTCTAATCTCACCACCTGAAGTGAATCAATGGCATCCTTGAGTCTCAAATGAACTGCTGGCTGTGTTGTCTATAAAGGCTCCCTTGCTCCCTTAGGACGTAGAAATAAATACACCACTCCTTCAGGAGTCAGAAATATTCCAGTCACCTACTGTTCTGCTTGCTGCCTTCATTTCAATGACAGCTGTTTTGTAGTGAATCACAGCATCTTTCTCAATTTCAGTTACAGTCTGTGGTCTGTAAAGTCCTCTGTTCAGTCAATTAGTGATTTACGTTTAGGTGAAACCATGGTTCAGGCCTTTATTCATCAGAAAGGAGCCATGACACAGGTCTCCGTAAATGAACACTTCCCCTGGAACCAACAGCTTTTCAGCTCAACAGCAAGCTGATGACTGCATCTGCACTTGTTTGCATTTGTCTCTGTATTTATTTTTTTTACTTTAAACAAATTGAAGTCAACTTATTCAAATGCCAAGAGATGGATTGCTCATGATTTACAAAAATTAATGCCTTTGTGTAACTTTCAAATTAATCCCCATCTGTCTGCAAAGAAGCACTGTACTGTCTGCTGGCTTCCAACCTGAGTATCCCACACACAAGGCCACTGTGCATTTGCTTAGAAACCAGTTCTGGAAGCCCAGGACTGTCACCCTCACAAGAAGATGCAAGACAAAGAGCAGAAGGAAAAAGGAGGCTCCCGGTGTTTAACATGATAAAATAGCTCATTGTAAGTGCCGAAAGGAAAGCACTCTTTTTACTCCTCAGATTTAAAACTGGGTGAAATATTGACACAAAAAGGAGGACTGCAGCAGAGGTGTGGCATTTAAGGCCCAGAACAGGGAATGGACGTGCTCAAGGCCACAGCACAGGGTCAAGGCAGAGAGAGGAGAACCGAGTCTGCAAAGGGAGACATAGGGATGCCTTGGTAGGCATAGGGATCCTGATTCTTCACTCCTGACAGTTCCTTAACTTTGAGAGCTTAAGACTGACCAGGCAAACAGTAAAACACTGTGGCATTACATTAATTAAAAGCCAGGTCATTCTTAAAAATAGGCATGCAAGTAGCCTGTCCAGAATCATTCCCTTTCTTGGTAGGTAGTCACTGAGAGGAACCAGGCAAATCTGCTGTCAAATGGCTAGGCCCAGTCCAGCTAGCCTAGAGCACTGAACCTGCCAGTCAGTGTATTCTGCAGGCTTTCAGTAGGCACTCACTGTGCGTGGAAGGGGGAAGATACTATGTGAAAGCACTCTCTTGGTTTATTATGTCATTCATGCCTTGACAGGATGAGGTCATAAAATCTTTCCCCAGTCACACTCTGCCTGTACAACCAGAAGGATTACTCAAAGCCATCTAATCTAACTCCCCTTCTTCTTCAGTTGAGGATACCAAGAACCAGATGAATAGAATGAATTGTCAAGGCCACCTACAATCCACTTGACCTTAGGTTTCAGTGGGGTAATTAGTACACAGCAGTACTTTCACCTAAGATATATAAATTCTATTGAAAAGTATGGTCATTAGGAGAATAAAAAGGAGAGGCCACTATCAAAATCAGAAAATACCTCTTTTGGAAAACAGGTAACTCCATATGTCAAAATTCATTCCAAAGGCATTAACATACTGTGTGGTGATTAAATCATAAATAGAACTATAAGAAGCATGAGCAACATTTTTATAATTTTAGAGTGAGAAATGTCTTTCTGAGCAAGGCACATATAATTAAGAAGAATGAAAGTCATCTATATGAACCATGTTGGAATGGAAATACTTATTAATTGATAAATGAAGATAGCAAGGTGCTTATGTTTACATGGCTTGCTCCAGGACACATCTTATGGCGGAGAGAGATCAATCAGTGAAAACTGGGAAGGGTATCCTAAAAAAAGGGAGGACTGAGCAAACTCCTTTTGTACATGGAGCCTTCCAGAACTTTACTCAGGTGGCTTTCATAAAGCACAGCAGGGAGGGCAAGACTATAAAGGGAAATCATTGGCCATCAGTGGAAAAACATCAGCGTACAACCTCATCTCAATGGAGCCCTTGTTGAATCTCTAAAAATAGAAATGAAATCTTTTTTGAGGACAGCAACAAGGTGATGGGGAGTAGAAGGACCTTGAGTTCACCTCCCTTTACAAGCATGCCAAAATCACACCTAACTGTTGAATAAACCATCAATAAAAAAGATTGGAATTTACCCAAAAAAGGTGGGGGGGGGTCAAATTCAAAGACATAAAGAAGAAACCATGAGATGGTAGGAGTGGCACACTCACAATATAATCAAATCCCATCCCACCCAGGTGGGCGACCCACAGACTGGAAAATAATTATATTGCAGAAGTTCTCCCACAGGAGTGAGAGCTCTGAACCCCATGCCAGGCTTCCCAGCCCAGGAGTCCGGCATGGGGAGGAAGAGTCCCCAGAGCATTTGGCTTTGTAGGGCAGTGGGGCTTGACTGCAGGAGCCCCTCAGGACTGGGGGAAACAGAGACTCTATGCTCGGAGGGCAAAAGCAGACTCCATAGCAGCGACTACCTGCTGGTCTTGGAACGTTTCCTGGAAAGGTGAGGGCGAGGGTGGTGGCGGGGGACTTAGCAGGGTCCTGCATGAACTCTGGCTGGAGGCAGACATTCTGGGTCCCTGGCACCAAGACCCGGCCTGACCAACAGCCTGAAAACTCCAGTGCTAGGACGCCTCAGACCCCGCAGAATCATCTTTACAAGAAAACAGAGGGCTTCCCTGGTGGTCCAGTGGTTAACCATCCGCCTGCCAATGCAAAGGACACAGGTTCAATCCCTGGTCTGGGAAGACACCACATGCCAAGGGGCAACTAAACCTGTGCACCACAACTACTAAAGCCAGTGCACCATGCACTGAGAGCCTGTGCTCTGCAAGAAAAGCCACCACTGTGGGAAGCTGTGCACCACAGCTAGGGAGCTGCCCCAGCTCATCGTAACTAGAGAAAGCCTTCGAGGCAAGGAAGACTAGTACAGCCCCAAAATAATTAAATAATAAATAAAATTATTTTAAAAGAAAATAGAGTACGTAGCAGAGCAGCTCCCTTGCTGCAACCTATTGAAAGTCAGCCCTCGACACAAGGGTTTGTAAAAAAATTTAAAAAATAGAAAATAGAAATATTGGCAATATACTGGCAGTGCACTCAGGGGTCCTGAAGATCTGTCTCTTCCATCAACAGTGTTTGGATGGAACAGACCCAGGGATGCCCTTTGCTCTCACCTCTGACCACCCTCCAACCTTTTTTCCACTCACAGATTTTGAATCAGCCACTCAGCTATCCTTGGCCACCAGGCCCAGCCAAGGCCATTTTTTGAGATTAACTCCTTATTACCCATCAACCATGTGAGCTCCCAGATTTGTCACAATTATTCCATCAAGGTGGAGGCCACTGTCAACCGCCTGGTCAACAGGCGTCTGCAGGCCTCTTCTCCTACCTCTCTCTAGAGGGTGTGGGCCACTTTCCCCACATATTGGCTGAGCAGAAGCACCAGGGCGTGAGCGTCTCTGGAAAATGCAAAACCAGTGTGGTGGCCACTCCCTCTTCCAGGGCTTGCCGAAGCCATCTCAAGAGAAGTGGGTAAGGCCCATGACGCTTATGGAGGCGGCTGTGTTCATGGAGAAGAACCGGAACCAGGCCTGTGTCGACCTGCGTGCCCTGGGCTCTGCCCGCACAGAACTCGCCTGTGACTTCCGGGAAAGCCGCTTCCTGGAGAGGCAGGTGAAGCTCATCAAGATGGCGACCACCTGATTAACCTCTGTGGGCCGGCTGGTCACCAGGCAGGGCTGGGCGAGTATCCTTTTGGAAGGCTTACCCTCAAGTCTCCCAAGCACAGTGGACTTTGAGGAGCCCCTCTGGTTTCCGAACTTCTACGTGAAGCCCCTCTCTGCAGCCACAGGGCAGCTTTTTAACCACCCCGGAGCCTTCTCCCAAGTCTTGGACCAAGTGTAAACAGGAAAACTTTTTGAAAAAAAAAAAAGATTGTCCAGAGTATGGAAATGGACTTTAAATGGCATATTTTTCTAAAAAGCTAAAAATATCTGTTTATAACCAAAGCAGAAATGAAATGAGTCCTCTTCTCTGGAAGACACACACACACACACAGGATCTATAACCTATACGTGGGTGTGCACATATATTAATACAAAACTCCAGAAAATGCTCATAATGCTAAATCTAGGAAGCGAGAACAAGGTCTACACAGGAGAGATTTGATCATTTTTCATTGGAAGCATTTGTATACTGTTACAGTTTTTAATATGTGTTTATTGGCTGTGTCAGGTCTTAGTTGCCAGCACTTGGGATCTTTCCTTGCCACGGAATGGGCTCTCTAGTTGTGGTGCCTGAGGTTAGTTGCTCCGAGGGATGTGGGATTTTAGTTCCCCAAGTAGGGATTGAACCCATGTCCCCTGCATTGCGGGGCAGATTCTTAACCACTGGACCATCAGGGAAGTCCCTATGCTGTGATAGTTATTAAAACCAAAAAAAATTGGATAGATTTTGGAAGTAATGTGCTCAATACAAAAGCTCTTTAAAAGAGAAGACCCTGAATGTGTTTCCTTGGGACAAAGAAAAAATACGTGGGATCACAGACTGATGCTTACTGATTACTGAATCTAGAATTGAACACTTTGCTTGCCTTCTTCATTCTCTGCTTCTGAGGCTGGTAATGCTCACTGTTCCTAAGAAACATTGCTATTCGTGAACTCATCTAGGGGAGGATAATTACATTTGCTTTCTACTACAAATATCAACATAGATGTCTGGAAAAATATTTCATTAATTGAGTTTAGGAGCAGGGATCCAGTGCTTGAAATACAAGTAAACAGTCTTTTTCTAATTGGTCGACACATGGAATTTACCATGATCATAACTACATTCTAGAAAGATCACTCTGGTGACAGGGCCAAGAAGGCAGGCCAAAGATGAGTTGGTGCCGTCACTGGGGGAGTAGGTTTCAGAGTCCCAGCAGGTGCTGAGGTTGAGTCTGCTTTGGTCAGGATGTCCGCAGGGAGAGAGGGAAGAAGAGACAGTGGGGGAACCACCTTGCTCTTGCTTTCTCTCTTCAGCAAGGTTGATCCAGATAGGTGCTGGCAGAACAGGCTCAGGTGGCCCATGCCAGCTTCCAGTTCCTCCTTCTCCCCCACGGCAGCCTAGGCAGGGTGGAGCGTACCATAGTCTTCATGTGGTGAACTGTCATTGTTCTGTGTTTAGGGCAGGAGGCTGCAAAAGCTCAGAGTGGTCTGATGTTGGAAAGAGTGCAGGACAAAGGCAACGTGGAGCAGGCCATCCTTGAGTTGCAAAAGATATTCGAAGCTGTAAGTGTTAGACCCTGACCCCTCTCCTCAAGTGTGTGTTTCTGGCTTTGTTACTAAGACCTATAGAGACATCTTTAAAATTGCAAAATTTCAGCCAAGAACAGAGGCCACCACAGGCCCCTTGGTAACAGGTCAGGGGAGAGCCCAACTTCCTTTTCAAGGTTCTCTGGCATGTGGACCCTAGGGACCCTGCTCCAGAGTCTTGCCATGCTTCCGCTTATAGTACCCAGCAGGGCATAAGGTTTGGTTCTGCTGGCCCATTCTTTGTTTTGTTCACACATTTTATTGTGCCTTCTGAGTTGCACTGTCCATAACTCCTTACTTTTCCACTGCCTTTATTTAGAGACAAACAGAGTTTATAGAAATGAAGTCCAACCTGAAGCACCTTGAAGTTTTGGTTACCCAGCAGAGTAAGGACTTTCAGCAGCTGTGTGAGCATCTGAGCCAGCTGAATATGCCCAGTGTTCTAGCACAGTTAAAGCAATTGACCTCCATCGCTCTGACACCCAAACACGTGAAAGACAGTGCCTCTCAGACATCACCACCTCTGGCACACAGCCTCAGTTTCACCAGGCAGGACAAATATACCTCTGAGAAGCCAGTTATGTGGCAGGCCCAGGCCCTTCCCGCTGCATGCAGTCTTAGTGTGGGCTCCGCAAGGCCCAGGGAGTTTGTTGTCTGGGGTGAGGGATCAAAGAGGGATGCTCTCCAAGAAGAGGCTGTGCAGCCGGCAGTTGGAACTGGCAAAAGAAACAGGCAAATCACGGACAGGGCAGTGCAGACTAGTTACCAGAACTCTGTTACTAAAACAGGCTCTGAGAACTGTGGCTCTCCCCTCCTGGGTCACAAAGTTCCTGAAGCTAGGGACCCAGTTTCCCAAGGAGACTCGCAGCTTATATCTCGAGGATATAAGGACTTAAACAACTCTGCAACCAGCATTAAGAACACCAGCCAAAAATGGCAAGCTAAAGGCATATTTTCATGTGACCCTTGTGAACAAAGGTTGGTGACCGAACAGAAAGGCATAACTGTAGAAAGAGGGAAAAAAAGCAAGCAGCAGCAGCCCAGGAAAGCCCCCAGAAGAAGGTCCCTACGCAGGAAGCAAGAACAAATGCCTAGCAAAACCTGTGTTTCTAATTCTAAATGTCCTAGGCCTCCAGTTTCCAGTTCACAAAGGTCCCCCTGGGGGCAGCAGGAAACTCGTGCTCAGCCCCTGCCACTTCGGGGCCCTGGGAGCCCCACAAATCTAGTCTGCTCTGCTCAAGGAGGAACAGTCCTGCCCAGTCAGACCACGAGGGCAGAGCAAGGGAACCGCATGCAGCGCAGCGGGCGCTCCGCCCAAGACAACAGCCTGCGGCCGCCCGGTGCCCAGGGGGACCACCGGATGAGCTGGTTCAGTGACCTCAACGACCTCAACCCCAGGACAGAGCCCCCTCAGTCCCAGGAGTCGGGGAAGAACATACTCTATGACCTGGGTTTTGATAGCAGCGATGATGGCTTCTGACCAGCCCATGATGACTTTGGCTGATGGTTTTTGGTCTTGTTGGAAAGACAAATCACAGAACATTTGCGGTGGCTGATGGCAGAGTTCTCAAAGCCTGTCTGGAACCTTCAGGGTCAGAGGCTGGGCTTGGATGGGGCGCTGGTGGGGGTCAGTGGAGGGTGGGGAGCAGATAGATCTGACATTCTGGGTACTGGGCACTCCCATGACAGAGCATAAGGGATAAGTGCATCCTTACTCATGGGAGTGAAATGTGTGAGGACGGTGTGAGGAGAGCTGAGGCAGCAGCCCGGGAGTGGGGCATCAGCAGGAGGGTATTGGGTCTGGTAGAAGGAGAACTGCCCTCCATACAGAACATCCAATAGGAGAAGGGCTCTCACAAAACTGTTGCTATGGCAGCAGGACTCCCAAACACATCTTTTTGGTCTTCAAAACATTTCCTTCACATGACCAATAGCTTTCTGGGCCTCGGGATTTTTTTAAAAATTTGTATCCATTTTTGCTGTGAGAACATGTGCATTTTGGGGGTCAGTGGATGTATTCCGGGACACACACTAGCTCAGACTTCTTGTGAACAGAGAAATGAAAGTGTTAAAGCCTTGAAGAAAAGACAGGTGACTCACACTACAAGCGGGGAGCCGCACTTTTCACAGCCACGAAGTCCCACTCTTCTTCCCAGCTGTTTCCCCCTGCCCCGTTTTCCACCCTTCTTTTAAAGCTAAGGAGAGTGGCTGCAGGCCCTGCATCATTTCTGGAGAGCAGTGGGCTTATGTGAGACTTTGGCTTTCCATCTGTATCTTGTTAAAGTTTTTGAATTTTTGCAACATATGTTTCTTTTGTAATTCAAAATGATCAAATAAAGATAAAACTTTAAAAAGCACGTTTTTTTTTTTAAAGCATGTTTCTTTCTTTAAGTTTATTGATCTCCAGTTTACTCAAGGAGATCAACTAGATTAAGATGCATACCATCTTTTTATTCCTTCTCATACGTTTTAATAAACCACACCCTACTCAAACTGATTGTTATGGAAGTAAATATCCTCATGGACGGACAGCTTCCAGAATTTGCCCATCTTTAAGCCAGTACAGCATTGAAATAGGGCTTTTTTTGTGTGGGGGGTGGGGGGTGCTGTGCCAGGTGGCTTTTGGGGATCTTGGTTCCCCAACCAGGGATTGAATCTGGGCCACTGCAGTGAACGCACTAAGTCCTAACCACTGGACTGCCAGGGAATGCCTGAAAATGGGGCTTCTAGGTAGACCATAATAGCTCCAGATTTCTTTTGTGTTTTTTATTTTGAAAGGTATGTATCCCACAAAAATTTGGTAGAGTTTAATTTGCCTGTGATACCTTTGGCAGTAACAACCTAAGCTGCTTTCACTCTCATTCCCAGACCAACGGCCTCCTGTGTCCTGTGGCCACAGGCAATGGCAGCAGCCTCTGTAAGGGCAAGAAAGCGAGACTTGGGCCCTGCCTCAGGCGGCCCCGGACCCTGCGCCCTCTGTGGGTCTCAGGGTTATCTGCTCACCCCTCTGCTAGCCTCCACTGCCTTCCCTGCTGGTTTTCTTTGCTTAGGCCAAGGTGGCAAGGGAAAATGGAACCCAGCCCTTCCCAAACAGGCTCCAGGCGGCTGGGCAGCAGTTACTCTGAGGCTTGTAAGGCAGAGCAGTGTGCATTTGGAAATGTTTTATTGCTCTAAGTTGAAAAGTTTAATCATTTTACTTCAAAGCTGAGACCCTGGTTGAGAAAACTCCACCAACATTTATGACTGCAGCCTTCTCATTGAAGTTTCCTTCCAACTTTAGAATGCCAAAGCAGGACCCTCTATTCCTTAATTCTGCTGTTATGAAATCCTGTATTTCTTCAGAAGTATTTTGTTTAAAGTCAAAAGGCCAGAGTGACTCAGTGTTACATGAACTGGGTGTTTTTGTAGAATAAGCAGTACATTTAACACCTAACAAGGCTGGGCTAATTAAAATTACACTGCCTGTCTCTAGTAATCATCAGGAAAGGATATTATATTTCTTATTTTATTCCTAAGGGTTTTTTTTTAACTATTGTGTTCCTGCCAAATTTGGTGAGCATGACACAGCCCAGCACATCCCTGAAGCACACAACATTTTTGGTTCTTTGGATGCTGATAGAGATCTATGTAGCTACACAGGGGCGGATGTGGTGGGAGGTCTACTGGTCCAGGGCCCACCTAGGGGCTCCTCCCACTATACAACCCCAGCTACCGTCTGAGGATGGAAAAGCCACTTGTCCTAATTGTCTTGACAGTCAAGTATCAATTTAAATATCACCTACAGAGAGGTCTCTGAAGGGGCATGCCCTCCTCATTGCCCATTCCCTTACTCTTTAATTTCTCTCAGATAGTTCCATCTGAAATGATATTTTAATTCTGTATTTTTGCCCGCCTCGCAGAGTGGAATATTAACTCCAGAAGCAAGAAGAGCAGCTGTAAAAAAAAAAATAAAAGAACAGCATCTACCTCATCTCTACTGTATTCTTAGCATCCAGGAGTGGTGTGTCACTAGGAGACACCTGACAAATATTTACTGAGGGCAGATATAGCTTGCTTATCAAACAGCTCCTGGCAGCCTGTCCTAAAAGTTGGGTCTCTCCAGTAGCCCTCTGCAACTTCCCTTTTTTGTCTTAGATGTTCCAAAGGGCTCCTGATGACAGGTCTCCTATAAGATGCGCATTCCTCTCTCCCAGGCCAGCTCCCACCCAAAGTACCCAGAAAACCACAGCCTTTTTGCCCTCAAAAAAATAGCTGCTTCCTACAAGAGCTGAGCAGGTTTTAAAATTATTTTTCATGCCAGGCCTTAGGCCAAAACTCTTCATCAAATCAGGCATTTTCCAGCTGGCCTAGCACAGAAAGTCCTTCCCCACTAGGGCTGCAATCCATTGTCAGTATATTTCCTGAGTAAAACTTTGTTCCCTCTATAAATATTTAGCAGGAACCTAAAATATTAATGTTCTCCCACGTACTCCAGGGAGAAAGCAAATTACCAGAGCCTCAGACTGTCTCCGGATGACAGTCTTCTCAATAACGATCCACAAGCAGGTTCAGTGGCCCCCCCAGTTCCCCTTTCTGGTTCACTGGCCTTCTCTGCCGTATCAAACATCTTGTGCCTCCGTTAAGAGCAGGCTCCCTCCGGTAGCGGGTGAGCCCCTGGCCCGTCATTCAGGAGGAGGGAATCCTTTTCATCAATTTCTTTGATCATTAAACAGCTCACAGCTTCTCCTGTGGCAGGATGGTGCTGCCTTACCAGCACATTCCTGGATGCCAAGGTGAGGGGCACAGGTGGTCTGTCTCCATCCTCCTGGTCTCCTGACCCCCTTGGAGGCTTCCCTGGGCTTGGAAATACAGGGTCCAGCAGAATGCTAAGGAGGCAGGGCAGGTGGGCCAAGAAGTGGCTCCCCCACTCCCCTGGTGAGGGGAGCAGGAAGCAGGCAGCCTTGAGACTCAGAGATGAGAAGGTAGGCTTGCGTGCCTGATTATGCTGGCTGGAGCCACGCTGAGGCAGACGCTTACTGACCATCAGTGCCCCCAGAGCTTACCTGGCAAGAATTCAGGCTCTAGTCTCGATCTCTGTGGCTAGCCGGCCAGGCCCAGGAATGCAGGGAAACACTGAAATCTGGAAGGGGCTGAGGGCGGGGTCACTGCTTCCAGCCCTTGGCCACCCTTGAATTGTCCTCTTGAAAGAACTGCTGCTCTACTCTCGAGTCTCAGCGTGGCCTCTGCTCCTTGCTGGACCTTCACTTGGCGTTTACTCATCTCTCCTCTTTCCTGTCCCTTCTCCCTTCTTTTCCTCCAGTCCCCAGCCTTTGCTTGCTTCTGCAGACCACCTCCTGCCCTAAGTGTTGTTACAAAGTTTACCAATACACTGACAGAGCTGGTTTCTAGTGATTTTGGCCTCCACCCGGCAGGCAGCATGAAGCCAGAGGACCTGGAAACCCCTCCTTACAGAACTGGATAGGCCCAGCTTCTCACATGCCTTGTGCTGTAAGTTGAACTTGCAGTTGGCAACTAGCCGATTCCAAAGCTCCTATTTATTCTTGAAGCTGCCTTGTTTCTATTTTGATTCTGCTAATCCAAACTGCAGTTTGGTGTTTCCACGGAAACAATCCAGTGATTGTTTGGCTTGCCAAGATGAACTGCGGGGGAGAGTACCAAATGACGTAAAACAATTTTAGTTTCTCAAATATCAATGTCTCCCCAAGAAGTCTTTGGTCCCAAGTTTTATTAAAATAAATGTTCTAGGCGAATAAAAAACTAGGCTCCTGTTATTCCTCCAGCTCAATCCCTAGAGACTGGCTCCCCAAACCTCTGCTCTGCGCAGATGAGCACGCTTCTGCCTGCCGCCATGAGGCATATGACAGAGGCAGGAAGGTGTCCCTTGGGCACCTTGGGGAGCCAGGGAGGCAGAGACAAGAGAAGGTATCACCAGGGAAATGACCATGTGGCCATCCCAGCTACTCTGCGAGTGCCCTGCCAGAGGCTCAGGGCTCACCTGCTTTACCCAACAGCTGTTTCTACAGTGAGGAAAAGCTCCTCCTTTAAGGAGTCCAGGCTGGATTAGTTCTTTGGTAAATCTGAATTTTCACAGAAAGGCTTTGCTAAGCTAGAGGTATACTTGTCTACCCAGCCAGGAGAATCTAAAGCCTCCCTTCTGCCCCACCCCTAAGCCAGGCTCGGCTCTCATTCCCAAGTGCCACAGTATGTTGCAGGCAGAAAAAAAGTCCTCTCATTTCAGTCTTATAGGGTTAGCACCGGCTCTCTGCTCCCAGCAGCCACCCCCTCTGCAAAGCCTCTCCAGGGAGAACTAAGTGCTGAGAAACAGCTCTGTGAGACCTAGAGCTTCTGGCCCTGAGGGTTCAGCACTATCAGGGAAGCGTGAGCCACTAGTGAGGGTCCTGCTGAGCCTCCCGTGCCAGTCTTGGACCTGCTGCAGTTCCCAGAAACTGTGAAGGTCACCTCTGGGCAGGTATCTGGTGAGGGATGCCCACGGCTGGTTGGTGGAGGTGAAGGTTTTAAAAAACAACTCTAATTTCTTCTTTCTGCAGAAGTGATTCAGGTCCACTGCAGATAAACTGAAAAACAGACAAAAAAGACTAAAACCCTTCTTGTCCTCCTTGGTAACAATGTCACAAACTTGGGATCAACTGCATTTAAAAATTTTGTAAATTTTGGAATAAATTCAGATTTACAGGAAAGGTACAAAGATAGTAAGTTCAAATATATCCTTCACTTAGCTTCCCTTAAAGTTAACATCTTGCATAACTGTGGTGTACTTGTCAAAACTAAGAAACTAACATAAACATATTAAGAACTAAACTTGAACTTGTATTTGATCCGTTTTTCCATGAATGTCCCCTTTCCATTCCAGGATGCAATCTAGGACACCTCACTGCATTTAGTCATTGTGTCTCCTTAGTGTCTGCTGCTGTGTGACAGATTTTGAGTTTTTTCCTTGTTTTCCTGACACTGACAATCTAGGGTACTGGCCAGGCATCCTGGAGAATACCCCCCAATCTGGGTTTAAAATGAAGCTCCCATCTCGTTGCATCCTGTCAGGGGTGGGTGACGGGCACAGGACAGCATGGGTGGGATGGACCTTCATCACTTGCTTAAGTGGTGTCTGCCAGGCTTGTCCATGTCTCTACCCCAGCTCTCTCCCTTGAAAAGTGACTTACTAAGTCCAGCTCACTCTCCGGGGGTAGTGATGGGCAGAGACCAGGGAGGATAGGGGTTACGCCTCACCTCCTCTGTGGGAGAGGATCCACATCAATAAATATTGTTTGGAACTCACTGTTGGGAGACCTGGTGTTCTGGATAGCAAGTCGCCTGACATGTCTCCATCCAGACAGCCCCTTCTCCTGAGTGTGGCAGCCAAGAGGCTGTAGGCATTTCTTCTCGTCTGCTCCTGTCCCTCCGGCTCAGGGGCTAAAAAATGAATCCCAACTCCACCATCTGCGAGTGTTTATTATCCACTGCAGGGACTGTCAGGGGGCTGTCAGGAGCCTCTGGTTAGCCACTCTGCCCTTCACCCGGCAGTGGAGGCCTGTTCCTTGAAGTGGCCGGAGGCTAATTCTCAGGGTCAGGCAGGTGCACCACTAAGAACTAGGTGCAAAGTCTCCACCTGTGGGGCCCAGATTAATCTCTGGACCTGTGGTGGTGATGGGGTGTAGCCAGCCCTGCAGCCTGCCTCATGCTGCTGGGTCACTAGCCTAAAATACGGCCTCGTGGGGGTCATCAGCCCCCAGGCCTTCCTCCCCAGCTCTTTGAGTTTTATGTCTTAACAAACAGTTCTATACTAGCCTTGTCACCCCCATTCTCCCCTATGAGCCAAGGAGGTGGGCTCAGTTTCTGGGAGATATCATACCTTGCTCAACAGTTTATTAGGCTTCCTGAAAGAATATCATGGTTTTGAGAGATGGGTCCAAATAATCCCTGATGGTGTCCTTTCTCTCAAGTGGTGGGGCTGGAGCCAGCCCTGCTGAGCTTCTGCTGCCATGCTGACCTCAGAGGTCAGTGGCTCAGCCCCTCCCTGCCCCTGCCATCTTATCCCAGCACAGTCATTGTCATGGGAACCACCTGTGGCCTCCCGGGGGTCCAGTCCTGGAATGGGATGGATGAGGTTCAGGTATGAAGTGAATGAGTAGGACCTGTGCTCATCTCTTCCTTCCCCCCTCAGCTGAGGGCCCAAGATGTCTGATGTGGGTGTATGGTTGGCTGGCCTCACAGGAATGTCCTGCCAGAAGGGTACCAGGGATGCTGCCAGCTCCCTGGACACAAGTAGGAGGCCTCTGATCTGGGCAGGGGCAAGGATGGAGGGACTGAGGGTCTGGCCATGAGGAGGGCATGATGCCTGTCAGGGGACAGGCAGCCGTGTGTGTGGCGTGTGCAAATGTGGCAGAGGGCCTGGGGCCAAGGACCCTCTTGAGGCCAGTTCCTCCACTGAGCAGGCCTGGGATGGGCTGGTCCCAGGGGATCAGAAAGCCCACACTGCTTGTGGAACCTGTACGTTTTCAGGGGCCCATAGAAAAAAAACATCAAGAGACACAGCAGAGGCCCACGACCTGCCTTGGGTACTGTGTATATTGAACAGCAATCCAAAAAACAGTCAAGATGTTAGAAAAAAAAAAGTGAAAAAAGAAACATTTTAAAGCAACAGAGTTAAAAAACAAAAGAACAACAACCAAAAAACTGGGCTGTCAGCTGAAAAAGGTACACCACTAGAAGTTAAAAAGTTATGGTAATTCAGATTCTGCTAAGCCTTTGAAGTGGCCCCTGATGATTGTGACTAACCTGCACAGACATCCTAACATCAGTCTCCTACCGTAAAGAATCAAAGCTGAAGTCAACTGTCCTTACTCAATTTGGTATTTAAAAGAGGTCATCAAATTGTAGTCCTCTTCCAAGTCCAGAACAGTCTCCACGATACTGTGGTCATCGAAAGCCTGCTTGAGGCTGCCAGAGTCTGCGTCCGGGGCCTTCTGAGGGCTCTCGTAAACCGGCAGGGCCCAGGCTTCCTCCTTGAAAGGCAAATCTTCACAGTGGCCACACACACGGTTCAACTCGTTTTCAAATTCTAGTTTACCAGCCAATTCTTCAATAGTTCGGATGCTTGTATGGTCTTAAAAATAAAAACATTCAGCATTAGAAGTCCAGTGGGAGAATTCTGAAGATGTTTTGCGCAGAAGTTAAAAACTACAAGTGGGCGGCCATCTCCTGGGAGCGGGCAAAGCCGGTGTTCCGGACCCAGGACTGGCAGGCTGCCACACTGTAACATGGGCTTGGCACCCCCTTTCCAGTGCAGGTATTTACTGAGTCCCAGGTATCTATTGGTCTCCAAGCAGGGTGTAAGTGGGAGGATACAGAGATGCCTGTGCTTATTCTGGCTCTTGGGGAACTATTCCCTGACTTGAGGATGCAAGACACTGTGTGGGGTCTTTTGAATAAGTAAAATGCTGCCTATTGGGATTTCCCTGACGGCCCAGTGGTTAAGACTTCATAACCTCCACTGCACGGGGTGTGGGTTCGATCCCTGATCAGAGAACAAAGGTCTAACCTGGTCAGGTGGCACTGGTGATAAAGAACCTCCCTGCCAATGTGGGAGAGATAAGACATGTGGATTGGATCCCTGGGTCAGGAATATCCCCTGGAGGAGAGCATGGCAATCCACTCCAGTATCCTTGCCTGGAGAAACCCACGGAGAGAGGGGCCTGGCAGGCTATAGTATGTGGGGTGGCAAAGAGTTGGACATGGTCAAAGCGACTGAGCATAGCACATAGCACAGAGCGCCATGCACCACAGCCAAAAGAGGAGGAAAATGCTTCCTGTAGATGGCAGGGGCCATGGAAGGAGGTAAGCAGAGGCAGTGATGATTTCCGTTCACCTACTGGGACCATGGGAGGAGATTCAGGTCACTAAAGCAATGGCAGGGATCTTGCTTTGTGACCCAGGGCACATACCACCCCTCACCAGACCTCCTCCTTTGCTGCCCCATAACCCCATGACCCTTCAGGGCCAACAGCTTTGGGCTGCTCCCAAGGCTATGTATCTCTTAATTAGGAGCTGTCTGGCCACTGTGCATTGTGTAAAAATAGGGCGCATGAAGTTCACATGCAGAACATACAGATGTGTGTGTAGCAAAAGTGTCTACGCCAGGATATACCACCCTGCCTTAACAGTGGTTGCCTTTGTGGTGGATGGCAGAATTAAAGGGGAGCTCTGGGCTTCTAACTTTTCTCTTAATCTTGTGTTACCACCACCCACCCGAGCTAGACTACTCCCCCTCTTCATCTCTGCCTATCTTCTGTTTCCGTCACAAATAAACTCATCCACCAACAGCGGCTGTGGTCCTTGGCTTCCGGGGATTCACTCTAACTGTACATTTATGAAATGACTTGATGGATGTGACTCCTCCAGGCTATCAGCTCCATGAAGGCTCTCTGCATGCAGCCTGCTGTGAACCAAACAAATCTACCAAGCCAAGGGAAGAGACGGGTTTTTTATGACACTTGCTGACTTGGGGGCCTGGGTGAAGGATCTATCCTTTCAGGGAGAGGATGGAGCAGCCCTCTGAACTCACCAATCATATCAAGCAGATCCTTTGTGACCTCTTGGCTGGAACCGAGTGGGATGCTTGGGTCAACTTTCAAATCCTTCTCTGTATCATTCCTGCAGCCCCGGGGACCCGGGGAGAAAAGAAAAAGGCAGAGGATTAGATCCTCTTTCAAGAAGGTATCTATCGGAGGTGAACTCAGTGTTAGATAATCTTAAAGACAAACATTAGTCCTTTAAATTGTCGTTTATGTTGTGATTCGAAAACTGGGAACCACTAAGTCAGTGAAGTTGACTAAAAGCATTCTAATGCCCATTAATGTCTGTGAATAAGAGCACAGATATTAGTAATACTGAAACAATTAAATGGCCTCTTCAGTCTCTCCTTACAGGGCAGCCAAGATGGCAGGACCTGGAAATTTCAGGCCACACGGTCCTCCTTGCTAAGACTTAGCTCCCCCAGTGAGTGAAGTGAAGTCCCTCAGTGGTGCCCAACTCTTTGCGACCCCATGGACTGTAGCCTACCAGGGTCCTCTGTCCATGGGATTTTCCAGGCAAGAATACTGGAGTGGGTTACCATTTCCTTCTTCAGTAGAGCCCCCAAGGGGAGGGAAAATCAGTGTTACTGACCCAGCTTAGGATTTTCAACAATTCCACCCACCCCGCCATAGGAAATCCCCCTAATTGTAACTGTTAAACCCATGAGATTGGAATCACCTTAGACTGTCTTTTCTCCAGTTCTCCCCATCTCCTGTTGCTCGCCAAAACTGTCTTTCGGGTGCCAAAATGGAGGAACGCATCACGATGTTTTCCTTGCTGCTCAGAGGTTTTCTTTTGGGGCAGAGCGCCTGGGGCTTTGCATTCACGGGGGCATGGTTTGGTGCAAAGGCCACGTTCTCGTTCTCCGGAGCGCCAGGGACGGGACAGAATGGAGCCGCAGAGGAGCAGGCTACCAGCGGGTGCCTCGGGCAGAGGAGCCGGTGCACGGGGAGGGGGAAGGCGAGCGGGGCGGCGTCCAGCTCCACCCGCGGGCGGCCCAAGCACTCCTGGGAATGGCTGACTCCTTCAAAGGCCCGGTCGATGGCTGCAGTCAGCTCCTTTCTGCATCTCCTCAGTTTCTCAGACATCTTCCCTACAAGCGACCTTTATTATATAATACACTGGAAACGCACAGAACAACGTGAGAATATCGGTACAGATTAGGTTGTAAACCGCCCACGAAGGGGTATTTGTCACAATTTCCTTAAGTTTGAGCCACGCCACAGGTCAGAGAGCCGAGAAACCCACTCTCGGGAGATTTTCTCCTCGTGGGAACAGCTGCGTCTGCACTTCTCCAACGGGGAGGGAGGAACCAGTGATCGATCGAGCCCGGCCCTCCTCCCCGCCTCCTGGCCACCCCTACTCTGCTCTCAGGCCCCACCCCGTGGCCGCCCAGGGCAGAGACCCACGGCTGCGTCCTCACCCATCCGCCAGAGAAACCCATCAGCCGAAGAAACCGTTGGGTTGGGTCGTCTTGCGCTCTCATCAGCTGATCGCGCGTGTCCGCGCCCGACAAGCCCAACCCCCACGGCTCGGGTTAAAGGTCAGACAAGGGACGCATAGATGGCCTCGTTTTTTGAACCCACGCAGCGTGACGGGGAAGCAGAGGGCCCACGCACGCACGCAGGGGACACGCACGCAGGGGACAGCGACAATGGCCGTGAAGGTACGGCCAGGGGGGTGGGGGGTGGGGGAAGGGTGGGGCCATCAGACCAGGGGCGGGGATCTCACTTCTAACCAAAGTCCCCGGCAGAACAAGGAGCCCTTTCCAAGCCCAGGAAAGTTCCTATTCTGATGCCAACACGGAGAGAAAGGCTGCAGACCAGGTACCCAGCAGTGTCCTGTCCTGATATTTAAGTGGGATCTAATAGAAGTGCCACACGATATCAATTCATCAAGGATGCTGGGGAACATAACAGAACTGCTAGGTTCCACAGGAGACTGAAGGTTGGGAAACTCCAACACCAAATATCATTAGGGAGAAGGAAGCTGGAAATTCCAAGGTGACTCAAAGGGAAACAGAAAGGGGCATCAGTGGCTACTTTTTAGGGTATTATAAACCCATCTCAGTGCACAGCAAGGGAAAAGGGGACGACATCAAGTTTACTTGAGGTTGATTTACTGTGGGTAGACTACTGGGAGGACCAGTAACCAGCACCAGAATCCGAAATCCAGGAGGGCAGGGCAGCCTGTGGCAGGTCTTCACGGCGGCCCCAAACTCAATGACAGTATGTTCCTCTCCACTCTTTGGAATCGGTCTGACGTTCTCCACTGTGTGCTCCCCACCGCCAACCCCAACTCTGCAGCTCTACCCGTTTTACAGAAAATTTTTACCATCTGTATTAAAAAAAAATAATTCAGCCTCTTGACATAACCCTTCTGAGCAAACCGGGTCTTTTTTTTTTTTTCCTTCTGCTCATAAAAGAAGGAAATTTCCTCATCTGGTTTTTAGACGGAACACTAGCAGTCTTCAGTGTCAAAGGTGTTCTCCTGGGGGATGGCACTGGTGCTGTGGTGCAGGGTCACTGGGGCAGATCAGTTGGTGTCCATGCTGTAAGTCTCGTCATCCCCCGTGCCCTGCTGTGAGCTGCTTGGTCTTGCACCTCCATCAGAAGATCCAGGAAAACTGAGTGAAGGTGTCTTATGAAACTCATCGTCGCGACGCTGGTAAAACAGCACATAAGCTGCTTTCGTCTAAAACACAAGAGGCACAACGTCCATTCACAGGTTGAAACAATCACCCATTCCCCCTAAGCTTTGCTCTCTGTTCAAAACACACCACCCTCAGGGATCCGCCGTCTTGTCCTGTGTGCATCCACACACTGAAGTGATGGTGAAAACTGTACCACCTGAGGCTGGCTCATGCTGACCGTGCCCAGGGAGTGGCGAAAGGTAGCAGCCCTGTGACAGACTCAGGAGAGTCAAGCGTCTCATTTAGGAAGGGTCCCGGAAGGAATGGTAGTCCATTCTTTCTCTACCGCACTTAGCTCCCACTGTCCCAGCAGGATGACTCAATAACCAACTAGCCTGGGAGACTCTTCCCAGCTCTAATCCCTAAAGGTAAGAGTGGGAACCAGGTATGAGGGCCTACTCACCACTATCTGATCCTCACAGGCTAGGGACACATTGCTATCATCAAAGTAATACCACTTCCCGTTCAGTTTGTTCTTCGCGTACGCAGTGTCTGCCAAAGCAACAGAATATGCTAGTTGGTCATCAAGAGAGTTGATCTGGCTAGCTCAGTAGGCTGGCACTCAGCAACTCCAAAACATGACACATAGCAAGAGTCTGAAATTAAAGGTAATTTACAGCTTGTGTCCTAACAACCGAAAAAGAGCTCATCCTTAAAAAAAATAAGCTCTTCCCTTCTCAAAAAGGCTCTAAAAGGGTAAAAATGGAGCTGCTGGGGACTCAGACTTTAAACTGTAATTTTGGGGAAAACAGCTATGAGCATTAATTCAGAGTTGGGGGACCCATAAAAGGAGCTGATAACTTTTTAAGATTTAAGCAAAACAATAGTTGTCAAAAACATGCCAAGTTAAACACCCCCACTGTATCCAGGAATGGCTGTCTACTATTGTCTCTCACTGCCTCTGGAGCCTGTGGGGTAATCCCAGTGAGACACACACTGGGGGCTTGGGTTGGCAGAGTTGGGATATGAACAAGAAAACTTAAATCTATCTGTCTTTGAAACTCTGAGTCAAGAATCTGTGGCTCAGAAACAATTCCTCACACCAGTCCAAGTATTTTCCAGAGTGAACACTTCTGGTTTTGATTTTACACTTTCTGAGCAAGATATGTTTACAACAGCAGTCCCAGCAGTGATACCCGATTCGCTCCACTCATACTCTCAGAAACGACTGAATCTGACAGAGATCTGGTTTTTGGTCTCGACCTGCTGTGTGGCTCTGGCAAGCTGTTTAACCATTCTTTACTGCAGCACTTACTGCACCAAGTGGTGGTGAAGGGCACAGGACAAAGTACAGAGAAGGTGCCAAGGGCCTGTCCCTGCTGTCCATGCTTGGCAGAACAGTAACAACGAGAGCTCTCAATCATGGTGTTCCAACTGTGGACCCAATGTGGGTCTGCACACAACCAGCCTAACCTGGATAAGGAAACTGAAGCGTATGGAAGCTAAGTAACCTGCCCAAGCAGTACATTTGTATGCTAAAAGAGTTAAAAGTGAATACATGTGTCCAATATGCATGAATACAGATATCAAAATTAATTTGCAGAGAAAAAAAAGTTAGAGATGAGTAAGTGCTATAGGATGTGGTATGATCACAGGTATTGCAAATAGCCAGTCTAGAAGAGTCCCAATTTTTAGACAGGCACAATTCTTCTTTCCCACCTGTCCTACAGCTAGTTGGTAGTCCTGTGACCAAGTTATAGCCAATGAGATGTATGTAGAGGAGTTGAGGGGGATTTCTGGGCAGTCTGCTTTTTAAAAGGAAAGGTCATGCCCTTTTTTCCCCTTCTTCCGATGGCCTGGAATGTAGACCTGAGGGCTGGAGAATGAGCAGCCATCCAAAGGCAGGAGGTGATATGGTAAGAATAGAGAGGCAGGAGAACAGACTTGGGCCAACAGGAAAAGCTTACCAATACAGAAGAGAAGACTGGGGTTTGGGGCAGTTCATAATCCACTATGAGGGTAAATGGAACTGACACCTCCCATGGTGTCATCTCTTGGGGTCCTGACACTAGGGGGTAGTGGCAGGTGTCATGGTGCGGACGCAACAGAGGAGTCACGAGGAGACCCAGCTCCTCACTTCAACATCACTAACACCTTTCCATAAACAAGTAACAAAATAGACAAGTAAAAGTATAAATGCAAAAGTAAACCTACACATTACAGAAATTTCGGAAAATAAAGTAGAACAAAGTAACAAAAAATAAAACAAACATTTTGGTCTCTCTCTTTCTAGGTTGTCCCCTCTCCTATCACAACTTGTCTTTTGTTTCAATGTACATAGTTGTGATACTACTTTCTATAATGGTGCAATTTTGTGTAGCTGTTTTCCCTAAACACATCATGGGCATTTCCCCATGGTATTAATAATTTTATTTTGCAATGGCTGTGTGCTCTTCCATCAAGCAGATGGACAGTAGTGCCAGCTGCTGATCACCAATGCTGTTACTAATTTTCCACTAGTGAAGCGAAGTGAAGCCGCTCAGTTGTGTCCGACTCTTTGCGACCCCATAGACTGTAGCCTACTAGCTCCTCTATCCATGGAATTTTCAAGGCAAGAGTACTGGAGTGGGTTGCCATTTCCTTCTCCAGGGGATCTTCTCGACCCAGGGAGCAAACCTAGGTCTCCCTCATTGTGGGCAGAAGCTTTACCGTCTGAGCCACCAGTATAAATAGGTAAATATCTTTGTATATGAAGCTTTTCCCCAAGGTCAAGTAATTTCAGTAGGACAGATTTACTGGAAGTGGATTATTGGATCAAAGGATATGAACCACCACCCTGCAACTCGAGGCCTGCAGGGCTGTGTAAGTTAAGTCCTTGGGGCAGTGGCTGGCACAGAGGGAAAGGCTGGTGCCAGATGAGTGGCCAAGGGCATTTCAGCATCTCAGAAGGAAGCAGGTGCCAGTACTCACAGTGGCCAACCCCCATGGCTCCATAGTGATTGGACACGGCGATGAGGTCGTACACATACGGCCTTGCTGACGGGTCACAGACAAACTCCGACATGTTCAGACCTCTAAGCACAGAAAATAAAAAGAACTCTTCAATACCTTAAACTGAGAGAAAGAGGTCGGAGCGATCTAGCCACCCCTTTCATGCAACAGACTAGAACACAGGAGGCCCTCAGAGACTAACTGCAGAAGGAGCGGATGAAGAGTCCAGACAGAGGCACCCTGGGGTCTTGCTCTGACCACTGACATGTTAGGCTGGAGAAGGGAAGCCTCCTGGGGAACTCCAGCCTCTGACAAGATGGCAAGGAAGGGCTCTGGGCACAGACATGAGGACTGTTGCAACTTTGCAGAAATGGCTACTACTGTCAGAATCACAGTTAGAGCCATAAAAATGTAAGCTAAATGCTAAAACAGGCCCCTCAAAGCATTTTTTCCCCTAATATTTCTAAAATTTTAAATATACAGAAGAAAAAGAATTTGACAACACCTCTACTTGACTTACTGCCATCTATGTCCTCCCACTGATATGTCTACACTGCACGTATCTACCTGTACACCAGCCCCTGAAAAGAGCATTTTTAAATCTGCATGTTATGGGGAATTCCCACCTTGCTGAGCGACTGTGTCACTTACACTCTGTACCGTGGGACCTGAGAAGCTGCAAGTAGACAGCCAGTCCCAGCTCCTGCCCCAAGGACAGGACTGCGGTGGATCTGCACTACCAAGGGCGGCCCCCAACAATCCAATTCTCCCCAGCAGATTACCCTCTAGTTCCTTGTGTCCCTGCATTACTGCGGTGCAGCACATTCGTGTGCTGTCCTACCGAGTCTGGGTTCCCGGGGACCAAGGACAGGTAAAAAGACCAGGTTAGTCAAGCTGCATAGGGATTCAGGAGGGGACGTGGTTCTATTGGAGAGACTTTTCCCCACACAGGGAGGAGAAGTGAGCCTAAAACCCTAACTGCCTGGAGCCCAGCAACGCACACATCTTAATGCAGAAAAGTCTTTGGTGGCAAAACACTCTGCCTATCAGTGCCCAGATGGTCTGCCTGGTTTTTAATTTTCCCTGAAACACCACTGCAGCCTAGGGACCCACCTGACTGGGAACTCCACGACTGTATCAAGCTTATCCCTCCAGTATCTATTGTAGGAAAAACGTTTGA